AATACGGGGTCCCGTCCGCTCCCCCCGAGTCAAGCCGCTGAGCGGTGGATTAGTAGTTGGGTCGGTGACGACCAGCGAATACCCGCTGTTGTATGTTTCTTTTGGTTTTTTTTTATGTGTACCTTGCCTCTATAAGGTACACGATATAGTCTTTATTTCGTACCTCAACCTCCCACATACGACCATAGCCAGTGGAGAATACGGGGTCCCGTCCGCTCCCCCCCGAGTCAAGCCGCTGAGCGGTGGATTAGTAGTTAAGTCGGTGACGATTAGCGAATACCCGCTGTTGTATGTTTTTTTTTCTATCTTTCTGTTCGTCGTGCTATCATTAGGCTTAGCATATAACCCGAATATCACCACCAGACTCGACAAGGGGCCTCGGCGTGAAGTTCCGGTGGCGACAACTCGAAGCCACAGTTATGACGAGAGTTGCCCAGGTAATTGTAATATTCTCTACGCATCTTCGAATTGACAGTTTTTGAATTGGTAAACAGATGACGTCTTAATCCGCAACCGTCATCACCACGCGTCTTGACCGTTCTGAGATGACGACTCCGACTCCGACTCCCGACGCGGAGCGCCGCCTCCCCCTCGCATCTTGTCCGCTGGCTGACGTCGGCGTCGTGCCCGAGACATACCTCGCACCCAAGATCAAGCGCGGCCTTACTGGCCAGCAGGAGGCCATGCTCTAGCGGCTATACGACGCGTATAGTGAAGCAGTCGATGCAGTCAACGCCTTTCTACAGTCATAGCCTGAGCCTGGCAAGCTGAGGCGATAGAGAGCCGTCCACGGCAGCACGCGTCTGGACCTGAAACTGGCCGAATTCAACACTAGTCTAGAGCTAGCGCGAGAGACCAGCCAAGTCCTGCGATCATAGTGGACCGAGGGGCTCTCGACATCACGCGCAAGGAATACGACGATGCGATCGAGAACAGTGAACTGAGGGCAGTGCACTTCATGGCGCGCGTGTGTACTCTGCGAACCCGTCGGGACGAGATACTAGGAAGGATCAAAGGCGACAGCCACTATCTCCGCGTCGCCCTGCAGGATGACTGGGCGTACATCGACAGCCTTTTACGGACTTTCCGCAACCCATACAGTGCAACGAGGACGGTCAAGGCGACTCATCTCAACGCATCCCAGCACTAATTTCGCGCCGCTCTGATTCGACAGCACAACGCCGCCTACCAGCCGAAAAAGGCTCAGAGCTATCTTTAGTGTCCTATTGCCGGGGCCTTTCATAGCCCGAGCCAGATACGGGCTGCCCACATTGTCAAGAAGAACGTAGGCGAGAACGCTGCCGTCGCTCTCTTCGGAGAGACAGACGACTCGAGAGGCCACATCTAGGGCCCGAAAAATGGACTTCTCATCCATCACAGATACGAGCAGTGGTGGGACTCCGGGGTCATCACCATCGTACCGGCCGAAGAGGAGGACGAATTCTCAGTCATCGTCCCAGACCCGTCGGCGTTTGACGAAGAGGCGACGCCGCTAGACATACCCCACGGCGCCCAACTTGACGGCCGGAGACTCCAGTTTCGGGGGCCATATCGTCCATCCCAGCGGTTCCTGTGGCTTAAATTCTCCGTGACGCTATTGCACCGACGGCGGGCAGAGGTTCTAGGATCGATAGGCGACCGCTAGAAGCTCCCCGATAGGGCCAAGACTCTATAGCTCTCACCTGGTTCCTACCTCACGGGGTCCGTGCTGGTCAAGCTGGCGCACCAGCTGGGCTTCCTCAGCCCAGCCGAGGCCCCTGAATTTTGGGGGATGCCCAGGGGCACCGAAGTTGACCAAGATGAGCACGGGTCGGACCTCTCCGACACTTTATCGATGGAAATCAGTCTATCCCTCGAGCCAGATCGAGAGGGTGGGGTCGAGACCTATCTTCGCAAGAAAGCGCGGAGACTTGAGGACCGACCGTTCCGATGAGGGCCAAGACGACGAGGACGACGATGGAGATGACGCGGATGATGACCATGATGCCTATGGTGACCATGACGGGCAGGACAGCGGTGGCAGCGACGAGGACGACGAGCCCAATTCCTCCTAAACGTAGACGACGTCTTGAGCCACTACACTACCTTCCATAGGTCTCCGGGGGCCGATCCTTCCAAGCAGACGGCTTCTAGACATGGATACCGCAATATTCCGCCCTCGTGGGCCTCCTAGACGAGCTCTCTCTGCATAAGTGGCTATCGTCTTTAATGCTTCCCGATATCTCTTCCATCGCACGCCCAATGTGGGACGGGAGAGTCCTAGCAGGACAGGACGAGTCCGAGGTTGTTGTATTCGGCCACGTAGATTCCGAGCTAGAGGAAACAATGGTTCTGGCCGACAAGGAGGCGATTGTCAGCCCCCCCCTGCTAACATGATTATTCTCTCGCCAACATGTGGCGTGATGCTATTATTTATAAAGGTACGATCCTCCGGTTTTGGAGCTTCTCCACCTGGCAGACAAGATTCCTGAGCGGTGGATCAATTGGTAGATGACGGCTAGCGAATACCCGCTATGGTATGTTTCTTTTTCTATCATCATGTGTATACTACCTCTTCAAGGTATACGATATATAGTCTCTATTCAAACCTCAGCCTCCCACATACGACCATAGCCAGTGGAAAATACGGGGTCCCGTCCGCTCCCCCCGAGTCAAGCCGCTGAGCGGTGGATTAGTAGTTGGGTCGGTGACGACCAGCGAATACCCGCTGTTGTATGTTCCGTTTTGCTTTTTTGGATGTATATATCCTAAGGCGTTGCGAGTGAGGGGCGATTGCGGCGCAGGCCGAGCAGAGTCCCTGCTACTTGACAAACTGGCGATGGTCGCTTCCTGATCAACCTGGCCGTCTGAGCGCCATCTACGCACCCCAAGCTCGTCGCCAGACGGCCAAGGGAGGGTAGGACGTATGGCATAGCGACGGCGGCCTCGTCGGCCAGCGGCATCCGTCACGCTCTCCCGGCTAGGCAAAATCAGAAACCCAGACATCCATGCTTCTGACCCCCTTCCTCCCCCCTGGGACACCCTCCAAGCTAGCCCTGCACGCATCCCGCAACGCGACCACCACCTCCCGCTCCCTCTCATCACCCGTACCAAGACAGTCCTCCACATCCCGCTGAAACGACGAGGACAGACAGGCAGACACCTCCCACTGCCCGTCCAGCAGGCCCTCCCCGCCCTGGACCCGCGTCTCACTATTCAGCTGCCACCCGGCCTCTAGGGCCAGTTCGATGATACGCTTCGGCCCCAGTACCGTGCGGACGTTGGAGTCGCCGCCGTCGCCGTCGCCTCTCCGGCACTGCAGCGACCCCTGGGCAAGCGCGGCAAGCACGTGAGGCTGGGCCGAGGGGTGCGACGCCGCCAACGACCACTCGGCCAGGAGGAGCCGCTTGCTGTGCCGCTTGAGGGCCTTCAAGGTCGACAGGACGAGGGACGGCGAGGCGAAGTACCACAGGCTGTGGGCGAGGACTGCCGCGTCGAAGGCCTGGGTGCCTCCATCGGCGGGCGGCGGGAGCGACGGTGACTGGAGGTAGTCGAGGGGGCTCTGCTGCACCCATGTGATGCGCCCGCCCAGAGGGCCTTGCGAGATGTGGCTCTGCGCTTGGCCGAGGGTATACGGGGAGCCTGCAGCATGGGTTCTCGTCAATGGGCTGCTGGTGCCTCTCGGGACACGTGCCGATCAAGTGTGGAGCAGGGTGAGCGAGAGCTGGGCTCACCATAGTCCAGGTCTGCGGGGTCGACGGCTACCACATGGCCTTGCTCATCCACGGCGTGAGCAAGCACAGCCGTGCAGTCGCCCTGCCCGCATCCCAGCTCCAGCACCCTGGAGCCGGCGGCTATGTTCCAGTGCTGCAGGAGCACCAGGCGATGAAGCGTCTGGGAGTGCTGGACGCTGAAGTGGGCGGGGTCGTGTAGGGAGAGACGGGCGATAGAGGCGGCGTCGTCTTCTTGGGTGGACATGCTGCCCGTGCTAGATGGGTTGCTGGGCGTAGATGGCCGATAGCCTTTGGTCACTCTCGTAGTCATGACTCATCCCTGAGCTCGGGACTGTAGGGACCTTTTATAGCTGGAGCAGGTCGCATCTTGCGTCATCCCCGATGTCTGCTAACATGCCTACCTGCCGCTTCTTCATCAACGGCTCAGCCAGGGTACCCGTGACCCCACCCATCTACATGTATCGCCCATCTACATGTATCGTATACGGAGCAGGGCACTGGCCTCCGTACCTGGGAGCGCCAGTCGTCTACATGACCATCGAAGCCACGCGGATATAACACTGTACATGCGTATCGGCCTAGTGATAGCCTCACCCCTACACGTAGCTCGAGTAGCTACGTCTTGCATCCAGAGCCTGCTTACCGTAGCAATAGACCGATTCACCCGCCCGTGTCCCGTATCGGTACAAGAGCGCCGATTGCAGATGCCCAGACAACATTATAATCGAATCCGCCGTGCCGCCCATCCAGTCGCCGCGGAGATGAGCCGGATTCAATCTACGTGCCCACTGCAGAAATGTAACGCTGCACTTTAGTGTGACTGTATTGGCAGCGTTGCCGTCATGTTTCCCAGCGCTGCCTATTAGCATGTTGATGCTCCAGCTACTACATCTACGTCTCCTCGATACCCGCGCCAATCTCTGAATCATCATCGTGACCTCTCGTAAGGCTACGTGTGCGCATTCACGTCTCTACCCCGATGCCCGATATCCCCGCTCACTTCCCCCTTCGCACCAGCTCAAACCCAAACCTGGGAACCATGTCGACCTGCAAGAAGCTCACATGGCACGCCACGCGCTGACACCTCAGCTCCGTGACAAGAGTGTCCGTCTCACCTGGGCAGGCGAAATCTACCGTCGTGCTGTTTGGGCTGGCAGTGAGGTCCAGCACGCCCAGCAGCTCCCCGCGGACAGGGAGGGTGGAATACGACAGGGTATCGTAATCGAGCCCATCCATGCCGGAAGGGCTACCGTCGGATCCGGCCTGCGGTGCGATGAGCTGCCAGACTTCAATCTCCGTCACGTCTCCCTTGGTCGTGAGGTCCTCGACCCTGGCCGAGAACTCGGGAGGCGGCCGCCAGGAGAGGGCACAGGTGTCGACACCGCCGGAGGGGACGGGGAAGCGCACGATTGTCGAGTCCTGGGCCGTCTTCCGTTAGTAGCGGCGCATGCTGGAGGGTCCGATGTACGGTCACTGACCTCGACGGTGATGTGGACGTCTACACCCTGACCCCACACGGCAGTCTTCAGCTTCCGGCTCACGCGCGCAATCCTGTCCGGCCAAGAACGCTCGTAGATCTGGGGAGGAGGCATGAGATCTGTTGCCCTGTCCAGTCCCACCCTCGCATCGCCGTGCGGGAGGGCCTCCAGCTCGGATTCGGACAAGGGGTAGGCCCGGTACGCCGACAGAGTGGCGGGGAGGAGGGCGACATTGACGGTCGACAGGAGCGCGACGGCAGAGGAGAAGTAGAGGATTAGTCTGGGAAGCTTGGATGATGCCGTGGGGAGCCTTTGCTTTTCCCCAGCTTCTAGCAGGGGAGAAGGGTGGTTGTCCTTGCCCCCCCCCCCCTCCTCCTCCTCCTCCTCCTCCTCGGGGCGCTTCTCAAGAGTTGTACTGGAGCTGCCATAGCCGTCGTCATTCGACGACAGAGGAGCATACTTTGAAGAGCTCGAGGTAGACATGGATGACAACATGGCCAGCGGCGATTTGATTGCAAATGTAGAGAGAGAGGAGAAAGGGAACGAGGGATGCACCGGGTTCGATGTAGCAGGCGGCGGCGCCTCTCTCAGATAGCCGCATACATGTATCCAGTCAGATGCATTCAGCATTGAGCAGGCTACTACTATCGGGACTTCCATACGCTCGCCATCGGTACATGCAATATAAGCTTCCATGATTCCGTTCTATCAAGATGGGCCTTTTGTGCCGACCCACCTGCATGCCGGGAGGAGCTCCGAGGGTTGACCTGCGTGACGCACATGCATTCTGGCGCTACGCCGCACGCGACCCAGACGACTTTCCATTTCGGGAGTGTGATCGCGACAGAGATTGATCTTTTGGCACGACCATGGATAGAACATCAATGTCTAGGTCCCGTACATGCGGCTTGAATCATGCCGCATACACGTACCTCGTGTCCTGTCCTCTCTCACTCACTCACTCTGCACCAGACACTCGCCTGTGCTGTGCATCCTTCACCGTGGTGCATTCCCTTTGATCCCGTGGTATTCGTCAGCCATGCCCTCCCCTCTCATTGCCATCCTGCTTAGCCTCGGCATCGGTGTCGACCTCGCGTTCGCTGCCCATGCTGGCTTCCACGTCCAATTCCCGTGGATGACCCGCCGCGCCGGCCCGGAGACCCGACCAGGCATGGAGCAGTACATCCCTTTCTGCGGTAAGTCCCCCTCCCGCTTTGGTGTCCGGTTCGGCGACTGATGGCACAGACAGGAGAGATTGCCCACTCCCCCCAGCGGTATGCTCGTGGGTCCCGCACCTTCCTCTCGTTCTCCGGGCATCCCGAGGAGCTCGTCACGGTGCTGTATACGCGGAACAGGGTGCCGAAGAAGAAGGCGGACTTCTCCCAGACTATCCTAAAGGATGTGCCCATCCAGCCTTCGGGGCAGCTGTGTGTCAACATCACGATACCGTTCCAGACCGAGGTCAACGAAATGGGAGTCATGTACTTTGAGGCGAGGGACACGAAGACGGACAGCGTGCAGTACTGTGTGAGTTATATCGTTGATCGTACATGTGCTCTCGATGCTGATGAGAAGCTTCTGGAGATAGTGCTCCGACGTGAGGATGGCTGATATCGAGGCTCTTCCTGAGGAGCATCCGGCCATGTGTGCGGGTCACAACGAGACGCTTATCCCCATGCCGGATGAGTATATATAGAGGGAGTCTGAAGAAGTACATCAACCTCGACCTCGACCAAGCTGTCACGCCTACACAGGTTATCTCTAGATGTTCACTCCAAGTATGGTTAAGGAGTAGAGGAATTGTGTTTTAGTCGTCATTTTCTGGTGGTCTATTTGTGATTCACACTCATGGAGTTTCCTTTATATATCCAGTCTGTGCATAGATCCGTACCACTCTATATAACAGCTGGTGACACCGACAGACCCCTTCCCCCCCCTCTACCAGATTCAGTGTAGAAAGTGCCGTGAACGGTCATAAACGACCATCTCATATAGACACTTAGTTCTTAGCATCGACCTCATCAGCGTCAACACTGTACTTGTGGCGCTTGTCGACCAGGACCTCATCAGCGTCAACACTGTACTTGTGGCGCTTGTCGACCAGGACCTCATCAGCGTCAACACTGTACTCGTGGCGCTTGTCAAGCTCAGAGCGGGCGACTGTATTGGCGTTGCCGGCAGAGTTCTGGACGGTGCGACGAGCCAGGCCCTCAGCGGGGACCGTGGCAGCCTGAACAGTGAGCATATTCAGGCCGAGGCAGGCGAGGCCGAGAAGAGTGACTTTGAGTTGCATTGTGGGAGTGTGGGCAGTACTCTTCGAGAAGAGTGTAGGTGTTCTTGATTGTAGCTTCGATGCTAAATGAGATGTCCAAACTGTTGATGAAGGGGATGGTGTTGACGAGGATATGCCGCCTATTCGTGAATATTCTACCCTTTAATTTATATATACAAGCTGTCTCTTGCTTTTCTGCTTCTGTCTCTGACTCGGAGAACAACAAGAATAACTTGCTGCAGAAGGAGTTCCTTGCGAGAAGCAACCTTCATAACGGCCCTGGAGGGACCTTTTGTCGCTCCAGCTTTCTATGGCGTGAACAGAAGCCGAGATAGCGACATCATCGTGCCGCTATAGCTTCGCAGAATGACGAGCACTGCCGTCTCCATATCAACCCTTTCGTACACATCTCGCGATAGAGGCACCGTATGCATACATGCGCGGGCTTTAGCTCCAACCTTCCCGGCCGACGCACGTACATCACCTGTAGCTCAGAGCTGAACCCAACCGTCACGGCACGGCACATCCGGCTGCATACATGCAGGTTTCTAGATTTCAACCCCACAAAAGTTCCCTCCCCCATCGTGGCAGAAAGTGCCCGCTGGCCTTGGTTCCGAGGTGCGGTGCTCGACGATATGTGCACGGGTTTGCCACGGGCGGGCGGCGGTGACTAGATCGACAGGGTAGCGCGCATGTACACGCAAAGCCGTATGCGGCAAGTAGTCGCGAGGGTGATGGATGTGTCTAATCCGGGCACTTTTGTCGCCATCAGAAGAGAATCTACACAGTCGCGACCTACAAGTCGTTCATGCTATCCGCAGAGTATCAGCCTTGACGAGACCACTTCGAAACAGCATTCATGAGCCCATGAGAGCCGAGTATTGCGACTAGCCCGTTCTTCCAGTGCCAGATAGCTTTCCCGCCGGTAGAAAGAGACGAGGTAGATACATGGAATATTGATATCAACCCCGACCTCGCATCATCAGCACAAGACCCAGTTTGATACCCGTTACCATTAGAGCAACAGAAGGTGCAGCATCGATGTTTCTCAAGTCCCTGACCCCCGGCCTACGCGGCGCCTCGCTCGGTCTCATCGCAGCGCTGGGCATATGCCTTATTCTGAATATGGGCACCCTCGTCTTCTCCCTGCACATCCTGACGCGCGGGTCAGGAGGACACTGTATCCTCCCCCGCTCCCCTACACTTGTCATTTCTTCCGCATCGAATCGAGTATACTGACACATAGAAGCCTACCTCGAGGGTGATCGACCACGCGAGCTGCCACTCAAGGTGCGCACCATCCAGACCTCCTTCCGCGACGACCCCTCTCACTACGGCATGGAAGGCGCCGCAGCGACAGCTGAGTGGAACGCCATACGTCCCCCGGGGAAGGGCTTCGTATTCCTGGGGGAGGAACGTTTGGCCTTTGGCGTGTCCATGTGGCACCAGATGCACTGCCTGAACCACATCCGCGCGGTGCTCGTCAAAGGCGACGACGGGTCAGATCACACGGCCCACTGCTTCCACTACCTGCGGCAGGGGATCCTCTGCGCCGCAGACACGACCCTGGAGCCGGGCGGCACGAGCACGAAGCTGCCCAATGGGGACAAGGTCGCCGCCGCGGCGGGGACTGTGCATACCTGCCGGGATTGGAAGCAGGTGTACGACTGGATGGGGAAGCAGCACGAGGGATGGACGCCGGAGATGTACGAGAGGTTCCAAGAGGCTAGTTGAAGTACATGTACCGATGATACACGAGGCTTCAATAGTATTGCATGAAGCGATGTACCTGTGCGTAGAGATGGACGGAATACGTTCAAGACATGGTACAGTCATATCCGTCTAGTTCTCAGGTATCTCCCCCCCATTCCTCCTCCTCTGCGTACCGATAGCACAAAGGCCAAGTCTCGATATCAAACAAGGTTCTCGGAGCCACAGGCACGCTCTGGACGTCAAAGAACATTGGTTCATCTACGAGCACACGGGCGTCCGCGTCGTAGTGCGGATCAGTCATGTTGTGTGGGACGAGCGGCATTCCGGAAAAGGCGGCAAAGTTGGACGGGTGTTGGCGCTGCCACTATTCCCATCTGGCCGTCAGTAAAGTTCCCCCATAATATTGACCTTGCGCGTGCAGGAATGGCTTGGATCCTGTAGAAGCTGATGCGAGTACGTGCATGTAGAGACAATTGCGATTGATTGTACATACCACATTCCACAGCCGGTCAAGCTGCGCATGATGGAGCCAGAAGAGAGGGTCGTTGGGCGTGAAGCTCATGGCCATGTCCTGGCAGTCCTCCTCCGGCAGCGTCCCCGGACAGTCGCCCGCCAGGTCTCCCCCGACAAAGTTGTGGACGTGATTGTGCAGGGCCGACATGGCTCTCTGGAACGTGAAGAAGTCACCCGTGGTGCTGTCGATGGCGTGACATACGGTTTCGGGGCCGAGAGTCTCGTTCTGCGGCCGCTCGTCCGGGTACCAGCCCGTGATGAGGGTGAGGTTCCTCCGGAGCGAGTGTGGGATCGGCCAGGCGAGCTGGAAGTCGTCGCCGGTCAAGGCCCCCGTGGTCACTGTGCAGTCGGACGACTCGCAGTCTCCTGTTCCACCCAACCCTTGCTCTGGCGAGTCGTCAAACACCGGGGAGGCAAACAGGTTGGCGTGGTCGCGCGACCAGTCCCAGTACGGTGTTGGCCCGGTGTATCCGCAGGTGCGTCGAAGGGATGAGTCGAACAGGTGAGTGAACCAGCGGTCTGTCTTCCGATAGGTATCGTACATGTACATATGTAAGTGCATGCGCAGCTCTTTGGAGGCAGACATCAATGGCATGGAGGTAGACGTACGCCAGGGCAGGAAGTAGGCATTTCTGTGGGTGCTGTTCTCCAGCGACGCGTGCGAGTAGGAGAAGTCGTCGTATAAGCTCCTCTTGCCATCAAGAACGCTCTGGTCTCTGGACAGGGATAGCCGTTGGTGTCGTATGCTTGCTAGACACTGCTCGGCATGGAGAATCAGCGTACGCTTCCAGCTAGGAGAAGGGAACATGAAGAGAGGCGAACCTTGACAGCTCCCACCCACTCAGCCTTCTCGCCATCTTCAAGTGTCCTCCATTCTTTGCGTATCAGGAGCCTGTCGCACTTTGCCATCTGCTCCTCTCTTGACTCGTGAGCAAATGAGACCTGTGCGTTGGAGAGCACGACGAGGATTGCGATTAAACAGATGAACGGTATAGAATGGCCCATACTTTGATGTTGTCATGAAGCTTGGAAAAGAGAGGCAAGGAGAATAAAGGAAAGGAAAGGAAAGGAGAAGCATAGACAATATGAAGAGATGCCGACGGAATCACGCGTGAGAGGAAAACAAACACAGATTGAGAGCACGTCAGCCAGCTTACATGCCGTCTGACCTGCATATCCATATCAAAACTGCTTCCAAAAGTACCATTGTATTCATTCATCCAAGTCTATACATGTTACCTAGTCAATATATAGGTCACAACAGTGGAACCCGGATCCCGCCTCTTCCATGTAAGCTCGGACGCTTAATATAAGGTCCGACGACCTCGTTTCCGATGATCAGCGCATCGCCCCCAACATTACGACTTGACCCTTCCCTTGTCCAAGTTTCATATGGTTCAATGTCCCTACGTCTCTGCATCCTCCTCCTATACACGAGAGCCCCATTTTCCTCTTTCCCCCTCGCTTCGTTCTCGGAGCAACAAAGACTGGATCCGTGCAGCTTCCGTCAACCACTTCTGACATCTTGAAGCCACAAAAGCAAAGATGCGCATCTTAACCTTGCCCTCTCGCTTTTTTGCATTGTCTCTATACATCCTACTTCCTCTATATATCGCCATACGTAGCTCCTCTTCGCTATCCGACATCGCATCCACCCTCTCATCTCTTTCCGAGCGCGTGGAAGCCCTCCGTGAAGAGCTCAGCACCTCTCCGCTCTCCGCCTCGAGCTCGCCAGCCTCCAAGAATTACGAGGGCTTCCAAATAGAGCCAAAGCCGCCCAAGACCGTGAAGGCGGCACCAAAGGGTTACACAAATAAAACGAGGCAACCCTCTCTGCCCGATGGACTGGCGCACAGCATCGCCTCATTCGAGCAGTACCGATTCGTTGCCGAGCAAGTGCTCCAGCGCAAGCACGCACGATACGCCAGACAGACTCCTTGGCAGAAGTCGCTGAGCGACAGGCTCGGGTACAGCTCACACTTTGAGAAAGCACGAGAAGGCATCGCCGTCAACGCCCAGCTGTCAGAGCGGATTGCGCAGATTTCGAGAGAGCACTACCGTACCGGCCCTCAACCGCTAGAGGGCGAGGAAGATGCCGATTTCGGCGTCGTGGACCTGGCGTTCGGACATGTCTCACGCGACTGGAGCGCACAGGGCGCAAAGGAGAGAGAGGCCGTGTTCCCTCCCGTCCTGGCTGAGCTTCGACGGCGCATCGATCCCGGAGGGAGTCGGAACAAGGTTCTCGTGCCGGGTAGCGGGCTGGGCAGGCTGGCAAGCGACATTGCAGATCTCGGTACGACCTCCTTGGCAGTACGATTGAGAGACTGGTTAAGCTGATCACGCTGGGCTTAACCAGAATTGCACGACTGACGCGCGCAGGCTACGACGTCACAGCAAACGAGCTGGACTACGGGTCCATCCTAGCCCACCATCTCCTGACAAACCATACCACCTCGCTGAACCAGCACACCTTCCACCCATTCGTGACCAAGTGGACGTACCAGGCAAATCCGACCGCGCGCTACTCGGCCTTGACGGTGCCGGATCACTGGCCCAACAAGTCTGTCAAGCTTATCGAGGGTGACTTCTTGACCGCGTTCCCCCAGGACGGCGAGTTCGATGCTGTGGTCACGCTCTTCTTCATTGACATCTCGGACAATGTCATTGACTTTCTGAGCAACATTCATCGGTTGCTGAAGCCCGGTGGCGTGTGGATCAACCTGGGACGTACGTTTTCCTCTCAATGCTCCCTGTGATATGCTGCCATGCCATTGACATTTTGAGCCATGCTCTTACCTCCCATGCGCGATGGGGATCAAACTAACCTTGCCGACGGATATCGCAGCGCTGAAATGGGGCACACATACCGCCCTCCAGCTCTCTGCAGAGGAGGTGCTCCAACTGGCGGACCTGATAGGGTTCGATGTAGATCATTCATCAAGAAGAAGCATCGACAGCTTGTATGCCAGCCAGCCCGATACCTTGCTCAGATTCATCTACGGTAAGTGCCTGCCCGTTTTCTCGCAAGGGGTGCATACATTGACGCATGGCGCTAACATGACGACTACATGTAGTCACGCAGTTCTGGTCGGCGACAAAGAAGACGTAAAAGGGCGGTTATACATACTAGAGGGGCCCTACCAAAAGCCAGCTCTCAACAGTCATCGAGTGATTGTAACGGCGCGGTAGCGAGCAATAGGGAACTCTTGGCCTCAGCTACAGCATTCATCCCGGATTAACCCATATGCATCTCGTTGTCGTTGAGTGTTGTAGGGGGGGGGGCATGATTATCAAGCATCATGTGCACAACCATGAAGACTCGAAAGAGATTTGCATCGGGCTTAGCGGACATGTATACTTATACACGGCCAGGAGAAGAATAGACTCGCCCTGTGTTATCAAAGAGGTTCCCCCCGCCCCTATTGGAACGTTCGATATCGTATCGGCGTCATCCACTGCGGCCGCTTTGCGCCGCGCATGCTCCATGTAAATGCATGTAAGCCTCAGGATTAGATCAATCTCCGCAGTTGAGCAGACCATGATGAATCTGAAATATTAACAGCCGTAAGTATTCATTCCTGTCTATATGTATCTTGCGTACTAAAACATTACATTCTGCCCCTTGTCACATACTTCGCTTCCACCTTCATCCCACTGGCCCTAATCTGGTTCATCGCCGGCGCGTCCCGCGGCTTTGGCCTTGCTATTGCGGCATCAATGCCGTCATCAACAACGCCGGCTACGCCAACGTCGTCTCTCTGGAGGATACGGACATGGCTGACTTGGGGTTTAACGGACCGGTTGGCGTAGATAACTATCAGGAGTAACCATAAACCCGAGACGAGCATGCCCAGCTTTGGGTTTCAGGTACTGCTAACAGTGATGTATCGTATCTAGTATCTAGCATTTGGCCTGCAGCCACGACTGCACTTGACCAGATTTGGCTCTGATTTTCGAAGTATTGTTGGGTCACGAAGATATGAACCAGCCTACGTCGGCACTCACCGTAGCCTTAGATGCTCCTTAGCCATCAACGGCGGGCCCTCCCGGCCAACCCCAGTACCGGCCCTCGACCTTTAAGGCTACGTTCAAGGCCCTGTAGAGTAGGCTCTAAGATCGGGATAGAGGCCCTAGAGCAAGCGGCACTGCATCTCCTTAGTATGAGGTAGAGAATATATAGGCGTCTGATAGGCAGCAGCAGCAGTAGGAGCAGTATCTAGAGTATATGGCCCCTCGGGACCGTTCGCACTAATCGGTCGGCCTGTCTGACTATTCTACGACGGCTAGCAAGTTAGCTAGCATGATAAAGGACGAGGAGATCCTCACGGATATCCGAAAGGTAGAATACGACCACTGTCATACTTTTTCTTAGTCTTTAGGGGTGACCGAAAAGGCAGAGATGTCTTTGGTTGTTAGATTCGACAAGGACGGTGTCGGATCTCGCAGTTGAGGAGCGTGATCCAACACATGCAAGACTTCTCTCGAGAAGCGTCTGTTATTTCTAGAGAATCAACCGTTTGTACGTGAACATGCGTAGTAGCGTGTGTGAGAACACACCACCAACACGCTCACATGCATTAAAGGCAGGTGAGGTGCTGTGTGGTGTCAAGTTCTGATTTATTATCTTTAGAGCGATGGACTCGACTGTTTTATAGTCGAGTCCCGTTGAACGTCTGCCTTACTTCCATACTGTGAACCCACGAGAAACCCATAGCAGTTCGTAGGGGTCGGTTGTGCTAGCCACCCGGTAGCGTGTGGCGTTGTGGCGCCGTGGTATTGTGGGGCCCCCACACCTACGAGTGCTGCGGCATAAGGGTGACGTGGAGGTATCCTATAAGTGATACTGCTCAGTTACAGTTATCAAGATCCAAGAGTATGTCGTCGAGAGAGGGCTCTACCAAGCTATCCCGAGGTACACGACCATGGTATATATGCCACCCAAACAGCAGATTCGCATCAGCAAGTGATATAGATGAAGCCCATGCTACTCCGCGTCCATGTATCTAGGGGTCTTTGCTAGCTAATAAAGTCCCAAGATGCATCCATCCACACACCCCCTCAGTCAATCTGCTTCTCGCACCCAATTCTGTTGAGCAACTCCTTACGACCGCTATGGGTCCTGACGCCACTCACCCTCGAGCTCGACGACCCCTTCCTCCCGGCGGACCGCTCCCGGGACCGCAGGTCAACAGACTCGATGCCGACGTCCTCCGCGATGGCCTCCACCTCGTCGTACTCGACCTTTTCCTCCTCCTCGCCCTCTACGTCGCTCCTGACATCCTCGGCGGGCGCCCCCTTGAGCACCCGCACCGAGACGCGAATGATGAAGAATGACCATACGCAGATGACGACTTCGAGGCCGAGGAGAAAGACCAGGAAGCCGTGTGTGATGCCGTCCGTCATGCACACCGTCCCCGCGGGATCTCTGAATGGCTCCAGGAGATGGGACCAGCCCTCCGAGGGCGGGTCGAAAGGGCCTCTGATGGCGCCCGCGGCGCCGCGGAAGCACGGCCGCTTCAGAGATCGCGGGAGATCGTAGTAGACGCTCCAGCAGGTCAAGAGGTAGAATACGTGGCGCGTCAATACCCAGACGACGAGAAAGACACCAAAGATGACATCGCAGAGGGTGGTGAAGCCAATGTACTTGAGGCACTTGGCCAGCTGTTGCGATTCATCCCATCAGCCAACACGGTAGGTTGGACGAGGGCTGATGGAGACATACCGGGAAAATCAACTCAATGACATCCATCAGGACCAAGACGAGGTGGCCGACGCGGGTCTGGTGGTATGCGTAGCATGCGGCGACGAGGGAGATGGTGATGGCATGGTGGGCAATCATCTCCCAGTAGTCCTTGCGGCGGGCCTCGATGTTGACCGAGACGACCTGCTGAACCCAGTATGCCCACTGGACTATGAAATATCCTTTCATCATTCCGTCGAGTTCCCTCTGGGGCCAGTCGGTCCAGAGCTCCTCCATGTCGAGGTAGTATGGCGCCTTGCGGTACAGGTACTAGAGATAGAAGCGCGTGGTCAGTTCTGCAAGGCTATATAGAATAAAGCAAAAGAAAAAGAAGAAAAAAAAAAGGCCTAGGTGAAGCAGCAGCTGTACAGTACCATTCCCACCGGCCAGAGGACACTATAGTAAGCTAGCATAGAGCCCTGTTCCGAGAACCTGGCGGCGTCCTTCTTCTTGGAGATGCCCCAGTGTCGTCCCAGAGGCTCGAGGACGTGGCGCATGAGCGCAGCTCGGATGCCGATGAGGAGGACGACGCAGAGCGCGACGAGGCAGAGGTCGTCGTGGCCGATGCCATACTTGCCCGTCGTCGGGTTGTGATACGATAGCTTGAGGAATTTGGATGTGTACGGACGTGCCACGGGGACCGAGATGTGTGTGAGGAGTAGAGAGGCAACGGTATGGAGCGCGAGACCTGTTTGGATTTTTTTTTTTTCAACAACGGTTAGACGGCACGGATAAGTCAGCTCCTCCTCCCTCCCTGTTCCTTACTGATCTGATTGACAAATAGCCATCGGACCAGCTTCACCCTCGGGCTGCTCGCATGATCAGCGACGGCTTTTGGGATTTTCGCGAGACCAGGCCTGGGCGCTGCTCTCGATGCGGGGGGCGGCGTGCTCATGGTCCTTGTTCAGCAAGGTGTGTGTGTGCGTGTGTGGTCGAGGATTATACCAGCTTAGTTTCTCGCCCGATATCACGATGTTGAGGCGAGAGAAGAAGGGATGAGGATAACGAGCGTGGATTTTTTTTTCCGGGACAGATCTCCATCTAAAACAGCAAACGGGTGCCAATTTGTTGAGAAGATATGCTGGTGAGCGAGTGGCTTAGAGCTCGAAAGAGGCAGAGGTCCATAGGTCGAGCAGGGGGAGCGGTCAGCCTGTACTCTGGGGAAAGGGTCACCCCTGTTACGCGTGCTGTTAGTGGCTATCTAGATGGAAATAAGCACCCTATCAGTCAATTTTTTTTTTTTGAAAAAAACAAAAAAAAAAAAAAAATCTTTATATTATTATCGTGCCTGTGTGCCTGTGCCTGTGTGGTCAATTTCATGCGTAAGCTGTGGCGGGTCTGTGGCGCGTACAGGTTCTGTTGTGGCACATGCAAATGGACATGTGGCTAGGACCACGTGAGTCGGTTCATGGCCATTCCGACTCTGTACCTTTTTGGGTACCGTTTGGCCATTTCAACACTTTCTGTTGACAAGATGTACTTACTACATTTACTTAGTGGTACATTGCTATCCTTTCATCATTCTGACCATCACCTCCTGATGATAATTACGGCTGCTGATGCTGACATGCACCTAAGATCATAGGCTAGGACTGATCTTGGCTGATAATCGGACCGCGCATCTCGGAGCGCATGTGCTATAAAAACTGGCCCCCAGCTCCCCGCAGACTAATCTGTACTAGTCAATTGACTAACCCAACAAACCCCCTTCCTCGTACGATGAGGAAGGCAGTTACTTACTCGTATAGGAACTCTTCCGTCCTGATGGTCCCACTTTAGTGGGGTTCTTCTATTGGCCCTAGCATTTAAGACGGAAATGGGATCCTTTCGGTTCGGAGGGTTATCACCACGACAAAAGTCTCCGAGTCGGAGGGTAAAAAATGGCGCCCCCGGTTCTGGATCCTCTTTTCACGGGGGTAAGGAGCTGGGGAGCAACAAGTCTTGATGCTGCATCTATGCAAGGCAGAGTCAAGAGACTTGGACTGAAAGAAATAGGAGGACCCAAAAGCGGGACAGGACATATAGGGAGATAGACCAGTGTGGCTTGCCTCAGCTGCAATCCGTCCGTGGCCGTGCTTACATGTACGAGCGGCGCAATCAAAGCAATGCTATATCACATGTAGTTAGGAGTAATAAGGATCCATTCCGAGTCCTTTGAGTGGCACAAGGACACAGAGGAACCAGACGAGGCCTGGCAGATTTGATGGTGATGTCTGGTGTCGCAGGACTTTTTCCCGACCAACAGCCTTTTCTTTGTTACCTTGGCTGCTCAACCGGGGCCCAGCCATTGATCCATCCATCCCAAGACGCCCAGACTGTTGGTCATCCAGTATCAGCCCAATGATTGCTTGATTACGACGGAACGTCCTGCCGCCTTTTAGGGGTTTGTTTTCCCTTTTGGATTTTCCCCTTTACGCGACTCCTCTTCTTCTTCTTCTTTTCTTTTTCGGAGGCTATGCGCTAGGAGAGGACTGATCTTGCAAAGACATGCTCCTTGTTTTGTTGTCTGTACCCCAACCGCCGCCAACAAGTCGAAGCCAGCGGACGATCAAAACACCCTACCTCCAACATGGGTGCCAATTACACGGATCTCCAGCCGAGCGCCCAGGTGCCTCCGCAGATGCTGTCAAGAAGCCGACAGCACAGAAAGGCCTACTCGAAGCGCAATAGGGCAGAGGTGCTCTCGCTGATGCGGCGTCGGTCGTGGACGTTTCCGCTGTCGCTCACGATTGCCGTGCTGGCCCTCTACGTCGTCAACCCGACCGACACCAACCCGACGTCTCACCTTATATTCCCGTCCTACAAGCTCAGCTCCCGCACCGCGGGGGGGCTGGCGCAGTATGGCAAGGGGCCGTGGGACGTTGCCTTTGTGGCCTTCTACACCGTCTTCCTGACCTTCACGCGCGACGTGTGCATGCAGGAGCTGCTGTCGCCGCTGGCCCGCGCATGGGGCATCAAGTCGCGCGCCAAGCGCGCGCGCTTCGCCGAGAACACGTACACGGCGCTGTACGTGGCCGTGGTCGGGCCCTGGGGCGTGCACGTCATGAGCCGCACGCCCGTCTGGTACTTTGACACCAGGGGCATGTACGAGGGCTTCCCCCACGCCGCACACGACGCCAGCTTCAAGTGCTACTACCTCCTCCAGGCAGCCTTTTGGGCCCAGCAGGTCGTCGTCATGGTTCTCGGGCTCGAGAAGCGCCGCAAGGACTTCCGCGAGTTCGTCGCCCACCACGTCGTCACCGTCGCCCTCGTCGCCCTCAGCTACCGCTTCCACTTTGCCTACATGGGCATCGCAGTCTACATCACCCACGACGTCTCGGACCTGTTCCTCGCCCTGTCCAAGTCCCTCAACTACCTCAACCACCCCCTTCAGGGCGCCTCCTTCGCCCTCTGCATCGCTGTCTGGGTCTACCTCCGCCACTACGTCAACCTGCGTATCCTGTACTCCGCACTCCCCGGGTCGGAATTCAGCACTGTGGGGCCCTACGTCCTCAACTGGGAGGCTGAGCAGTACAAGTGCCCCCTGTCAAACTTCATCGCCTTCGGTCTACTGGCGGCCCTGCAGGCTCTTAACCTGTTTTGGCTGTATTGCTTGATGCGCGCCGCCTACAAGTTTGTCTTCCTGGGCGTCGCCAAGGACGACAGGTCTGATGATGAGGAGGCTGAGGAGAAGACCGTCGTGGCTTCCAATGGATCGGCCGGATGTGCAACAGGCAGCGGAACTGCGACCGTGCAGGGCAGGAAGAGTAGGAAGGCTGAGAAGGCGGCGGCATAGTTGGTTATGTGGACAGGAGACCGGCATCATTGAATAATCTGGACGGTTCTGGCATCCATCTTGGGCTGGAAATGTATTACATGTATGATTATGATGGAATGGTCATGTGCTTGGCACGAGTAATTCAAGTAATGGTAATAATAAACTGGTTCGAATAATATGATATAGAAGCAATCTAAGCCCATGCGTTTGGGGGGTATCTCCCACAACACCGGCGTTTCCAAATATCATCACTTGGAAGAGAGACCATGAGTAATTGAGCAGACAGATGAAGAGGAGGTATCGACTGTTAAATGCATTCTAATACAGCACTTTATATATCCATCCATCTAAAGAAAATGTCCCAGACTCCAATTGATCCGAAAACTCCATCGCACTGAAAATCCAAAATCTGTTACCGGGTAAGCTCACTCGCCCTCCTCGGACTGGTCCCTCCGGAGCTCCCTCTTCACGCCCATCTCTCTCCAATTCCGTTCTGTACAACCTCAACATCCGAAGACTCAACTAGATGTTCCCTTTCTCCATTCGGCGAGGACAAGGATACCCGAATCGAAACCTTCATCCTCGCCTCAGCAACCTGGGCAGATTCATAAGCTGTCCAGATCCCAGAGAGCTCTGGAACACAGCAGCCATGGCAGGCGACAATCCAATATCTTCGACGCAAGCAATCCACGCATCCAGCGCCAGCACCTCAACTTCACCCCCCGTCTCGCTCTTCAGATACTCTCCGATCTGTCTCACGTCCAACTCCAAATCACCCGATTCGTGAACGTAAACCACCTCATCCTCCTTCGATCCAGACATGACAGTGCTCACCACCCCGCGCGTGACAGTCTCTGACTTCACTAGATCGACGAACCCGCTCAGGCCAGGCGCTTCTGGCACGGCGCGCACGCGGCGCGAGTAGTCGAGCATATTTTGCAAAACATCAGCCGCCGGGTTCTCGCCTGTCCTGTCGGCCTCGGGACGCACGATGCTCGACGGTCGGTGGATGTAGACCGGCAGGCCACATTCCGCGTGGACGTTCTCGAGGTATACCTCGCTGGCCCACTTCGACGCGACGTAGCCGTGTTGGCCATCTTCTGGCGGCGTGTGCTCGCGAACAGAGACTTCGCCGAGTTCTTGGAAGGGCGTGTACATGGCGACGCCTGTCGTGGATACATAATGCAGGCTGATCTGACGGGGACAGCACAATCGGACGAGCTCCTGCGTCGCGCCGAAATTAGCAGCGCGGAGAGAACTGTATGTCTTTAGATGCGAGACGTCGGCGCCATTGTGGATGACTGCATCGGCGGACTGGAATATGCGGAGCGCTTTGTTCTCTGCAAGACCGAGACGAGGCAAACTCAAGTCACCTTCGTGGAATTCTGCCTTGGGTCCGAGCTCGGAGAGGAGATCTTGACGACTCTTGTCCTTGGAGTTTCTGACGGCTATGCATATGACTTTCTGGACATTCTCGTTGTCCACGAGGGACCTGGCCAAGTATTGGCCGAGGAAGCCCGTGACTCCCGTCAGAACAACGACACGGGGAATCTCTGCGACTGCATTGGTATTCTGCAGCCTAGCAGCCAAGTCTCCTGGAACAAGTGCGGTCTCGCTAGTCCAGTCGATTCGGTTGTCAAGCTCTGGTTCGATGTCGTCCATCCCGGGAAGAAGTCGAGCCATCGAACGCAGAGTGGCCGATTGGAAAAGCTTGGGCAGGGCGATGGAGATGCCAAGGTCCGCACGAATCCGCCCCTGAAGCTCAATCAACAGGAGGGAGTTACCTCCGATGGTGAAAAAGTCAGAGTTGGCTTCGATTTCGTACAGTCCCACCAGCTCCTCGGGAATCACGGCTTCCCAGTAGCTTCGAAGTGTCAGTTCGGCCCTGGAAAGTGCCGCTCCGGTGCCATCCGTCCGTGGATCAGTGTGTTGCAGCAGACCTTGCGAGATGGGCAAAGTGTCGATTCTGCGCCTATCAACTTTTCCAGCCACTGTTCTGAGAAGGGCATCGATCGGGATTAGGGCTGATGGAAGCATGGCTCGTGCCAGTGGCAACCCAGCGAGGAGGCTCTCCAGAAACCTGCCCTTGTCTTCGGATAGGTTTCCGGCTGAAAAGACGACATGGACGACCATGAACTTGACCGTCCCTTCTGCGCTGGTGCGGAGAGACGCCACGGCGTCGGAGAGAACACCACCAGAAGCTTGCAGGACAGTCTTCTCCACATCCTTCAAGTCGATACGCACGCCGTTGAGCTTGACCTCTGTGTCATCTCCGATGCGGCCCTTCAGCACGAGCGTGCCATCGGGCTGTAGGAAGCCGACGTCGCCTGTTCGGTACATGGCTGTCCACCCCCGCTTTAGATCGTCCTCGGATGCGAAGGGGTCAGGCAAGAAAGATTCCCGACTTCGCTCGTCCAAGTTCAAGTAGCCCATGGCCACCCCAACACCTCCAATGGCAATCTCACCCGTCTGACCTACAGGCTGGAGGCTCTGGCTAGCGTCCAGAATGTAGAACCGCTCGTTTGCAGAAGCCGCTCCGACCGGTATAGTGCCTTGGTAAAATCCAGGAACACGCCATGACAACTCCATCTTGGTCGATCCGCATGTCGTCTCGGTAGGACCATACACATTGAAGAGTCGTAGATTATCGCGGTTCATCTCACGAAAGAGCTCAAGAAGCGGTTCGGTGATGGCCTCTCCGGCAACGAGAGCCAGGCGCCAAACGGAAGACCGCAACACCTCCTGGCTCTCACGCCTCAGCCAACTCTTGTACTCAGTTGGAGTTGCATAGGTGGCCGTTACACCTCGACTTTTGATCAGCTCAGCCATCGCGTGTGAGTCCGCGCGCATGGTGTGGGAGACCGTGTGCAGTTGGGCTCCCACGCCGAGGGCCAAAAATATCTGCGTCACGGACAGATCAAAGCTCCACGCGCTTTGCTGAAGCACAACGTCGTTCTGGGTCAGCTCATACGTGGCAGCGCAATGATCGAACTCATGCCTTAAGCTTTCATGGCGCAGGATGACTCCCTTTGGAACCCCGGTTGAACCGCTGGTGTAGAGGATGATGGCTGGTGCGTCCGGTCGAGCAAGGTTGGGAACCGCCTCCTGACTTGAAGCTTCCAAGGATGATACGTCGACCAGGGCTGTACCCGGTTCGACCTGTAGACCCTCTGCCTCGTCTGCGGTCAAGCCGTGGACGAGAATATAGGCGGGCCGACAGTCGCGCACCATGAGGGAGAGTCTTGCGATCGGAGTGTTGACGTCTAGCGGAACATAGACCGCGCCAATCGTAAGAATCGCGAGAAGGGAAGGGACCCAGCAGGTTGACGGGTTCTGGAAGACAGCCACTCTGGAGCCGGGCTGTACACCTTGGCGAAGGAGCTCAGATGCAATCATGTTCGCTTGGGCAGAAAGCTGCGCATAGGTAATTGAGCCGCCAGTGTTGTCGGTAACCGCAACCCTCTCAGAAATCGTCGGGAAAAGGCCCTCAAATCTATGAATGAGAGTTTCAGGCCACAAAGACTCGAATGGAGCGCCTGGAAGGATGTCAGTATACTGATGAGGGATGATGATGTCCTTCCCTGGTGGACTTACCGCGTCCCAATGCAAGAGCGTTCTGCAGAACATCAGGCCTGAAGTTCCACTTGCTGCCAACCACCTGATTTGGTTCGTTTGCAAACTCGCGGAGAATGTCCTCATACCCATCACGCAAGATCTGTGCGCTGGAATCCGTGTACAGCGACTCCTGCAGGTTGAGTAGGATGCGCGTGTCGCCTGTGGTGTTGTTGATGACGGTGAAGGTGATGTCATAAGGAAGCTCGGCCATCTCCTGCTTCATCATCGTCATGCGGCACCCGAGGAACTCTTGGCCATCCTCGAGATTGTTCTCAGCGTAGTTCATGAACGCCTGCGCCAAGGGTGTATGGGTAGCCTGGCGCGAGACTCTGAGCTCATTCAGGATGACTTCGAGAGGGATGGAGTTGGCGAGGACGGCGAAGCTCTTTTGCCGCGCCTCATCCAGGGCACCAAGGAAAGGCTGTTCCGCGTTGGCCGTCATGCGCAAGGGAAGCATATTGAGGAACGGGCCGATACCGGTGGTCATCTGGTCATCCCTGCGGCAGCTGTCTGCGATACCAATGCAGACGTCGGTAGTGCCGATGAATCGATGCAGCAGTACCTTGAAGGCGGCGAGATGGAAGTGGAATGGTGTAGCGCGGTGTGCCCTGGCGACTTGACGGATCTTTGCCGAGAGCTGCTTGTCGATGCAGAAATCTGAGATACGAGATGCGTAGCGCTCGAGGGGCTGTCGCTCAGAGATCTGGCTGCGGTGGAGGGACAGAGGTTCGGGAATGGTGTTGAATTCTCGGTGCCAAAAGTTGATGGCTGCATCCCATTCCCCTGACGAGTACTGCCTTTTCTGCTCGTCAGAGTAGTCAAGGTACTGAAGAGGGTTTGGCTCTAGTGGATATCCATTGTACAGTCGCTCTAGGTCGCCCATGACGGCATCATTGCTGGCTCGGTCGAAGAAGATGTGGTGCGAGCTCATCAAGAGGTAATGATCTCGTGGAGAGTATGAAAGCAGGATCGTGCGGCTGGTCTGGCCACGGTCCAGATCGAAGACGTGGCCACGGAGCCCTGCATACTCGTCGGCAATATCTTCTTTGCTGTAGACCCTCTTGTGCTCAAGGGCGAAGGAAGCGTTCGTCATGATTCCTTGGCTAGGTTGGCCATCACGCTCGCAAATGCAGCTTCGCAGCGATTCATGACGCTCTCCTAGTGCTCGGACGGCGCGGTCAAGATCGGGAATGCGCACTTCTCCACTCAGATGAATCATGACTGTGTTGTTCAGGGTGGTCTTGTCAGGCAGGAGTTCGTGCACGAACAAGAATACTGACTGGGTGTAAGACAAGGGCCCGAACCTTTCCAATTGGAGTTCCTGTGAAACCAGCTCCGTATCCTCCTTGGTACCGATATCTCCGTTGGTAACGGATGAAATTTCCGTCTTGGACGCCGTAGACGGAGGTGTACCAGACTTTTGCGACAGCGCCTCAGAGGACGAAGAATTGTCTTCCGATTTGGATGAGAACAACCCAGGTACTAGCTCCTCTGGAATCTCCTCCATAGCATGGCCGATGAGACCCTGGAGTGCTTCACCCTTTAAAATGCGGAGTGCAGGGATGTTGACCTGGAAATTGTTGAGGAACCAGGATCTGATTCTGACGGCAACAAGAGAGTCGAGGCCCAGGTCATCAGTCCGGACGGCTGGTGTGATGGCGTAGTCGTCGCTGAGATGAAGCATCTTGCGCATCTCGGAAATAAAAGATTCTGATCTTAGATTAGCCTTTTGAGGATGGTATGAAGAGAATGGAGGTGGTGGTCAGAATCTCACCAGTGATGATCTTCTCAACATCATCTCTCGTCATCGCGGCGGCCAGTAAGTCCTTGATACACGGGCCAGCCTGCGTGCCAACAGCGCTCGTGTCCTCAACGGCGGACCTTTCTGTGAGACATGCGAACTGAGGATAGCTATACCACTGCGGCCGATTTGGCGCGTTGGCAGACATCCTCCTCAGCCCGATGGAAATCTGCCACTCGGCACCCGACTGGGGATGGCCATATTGGATGGCTTCGGCCAGCGTCTGGTGAACGTCATACTCGGATATCGTCAAGAGGCCTCGTTCAAACGAAGGACGCGTCAGGACGTTACCCTTCTCGCGGGTAATGTATCCCGTCCCCATTATCAGGCCGAGTTCCACAACGGACGCCGGCAGACCACGTTGGCGCCTTTGCTGAGCCATGCCGCTCATGAACATGTTGGCAGTCGTGTATCCTGCCTGACCGGGGTTGCCTGCCACAGTGGCAACAGAAGAGAAGAAGATGAAGAAATCCAGCTGCTCATCTCCCAAAACACGGTCGAGGTTGAGACTGCCCTCAACCTTGGGATGGAGAACGTGGTTGAAGTCCTGCACTCCCATGTCGCGGAGCGCCATGTCTAGAAGAATCATGGCTCCCTGGTATACACCGACAATAGGGGGAAGCGAGCTAGAAATTTCTCGGTGCGCCTGCGCAAGTGCGTCATAGTCGGTGAGGTCACTGCATATTTCACATTAGTACGTGCTTCCCAAATGATCTGGCGGCCAACTTACCATGCCACGATACGGACCGTCGCGCCTCTTGCTTCCGTGCTCTTAAGCCATCTCTCATCAATCTTCGGGTTGCGGCTGGTGATGACCAGATAATTGGCACCGTTCCTAATCATCCAGTCTGCGATGGAGATACCGAGATCTCCAGAGAGTCCCACCAACCAGTAACTCCGATCTGGCCTGAAACAGGCCATGGCGGGCTGGACAGTAATGGACACAGAAGAGGCATCCCAGTCAATGATTGTAAGTGCGCTGGGGGTTTCCTCGGACGTTTCCAGCTCTTGGATATTGACAAGGCTTATCGCTGTATAATCTTCCACTGTGACTGAAAGTACATCGGCTGTCGCGGTTGCGAGAAGCTTGTTGATGACGTTGCCAGAAACTGGGTGTATCTTTGCATTTGCAGTGAACATCGAGGTCATGCTGACCTTGGGAACGCCGGCTGACAAGCAAGAAGCGACCGATGATACTTCATATCTAGTTGTGAGGTCGATGCATCGAGAGATAGTAGTGGGAAGAAGCGCCCTGATATCGGATTGGCGCATGTATCGACCGACGTAGATGGCGCCACTGTGATCCGCGACTTCCCTCGACGAAGTAGTACAAACTAACCTGATGGCGGCTGACCTGAAACGGCTACCGAGCAACCTCATCACGGACTCGGGAGCATCGTGGATGAGAAGAGTATCACCCTCGGTCAGGGAACTCGTGAGTGTTGGCAGCAGAAGGTGTGCAGCAACATCTGCCAAGAACGCCACCGCAGACTTTGGATCAACAGAACAAGAGACCAGATTCTCCCGGGGTATGTCGATGACAGAGGCAACAGATTCGCAAAGGCCCAGGTACTGAGCACCAGTCGACGAGCAACTTCCCAGTATCAAGAATGCATCGCCGATATCGGTCTTGATGGCATTCAAGGTGGAATGTGTCAGATTCAAGGTCACAACGCCGGCATGGTCACAATAGTCTCTGGCCAGTGGATCCCGTTCGACGAGGGTGTACTGATCATCTTCATTCTCGATAGAGATCCGAGAGTTCGCAGTCTGAGAATCCTTGACAATGGATCGTCGCGCCGAATTGTACCGATCGTTGGCAGCACTGACGGGCCTCATCCGAGGAACCAACTGGCGCCCGTCAGAGTCGATGACAATCTCAGACTCGACAGACCAAAGGGACTTGCGTTGTTTCTGCTCTTGTACGGAGCCAGACATCTGGAATCGCAGAACGGATTCCACCAACGCCCTCGCGTCGATTCGGCCCACATCCTGGAAGTCGATGAATTGGTAGCGGATCTCTGGGATCTCCCACAGAGCCGATCGAGCGAATCCCACTCCCATGTTTCCAAAGGGGTTGCTGGTCATGCGATCTTGGGTAATCCACGCGATGGACTTCTCGGAGCCGAAGAGGTGCTTGAGTCCGTCCCATCGGGCCTCCGTGATGTTTTTGAAGATGGGGTGGTCCAGATCCTCCAGAACAAGGACGGTGTCGTTCTTGCCAATCTCGGCATCACTGAGCATCTCCAGAGACCCAATCGTCGTGATGTAGTCGCAGAAATTGTGGATGAGCTTTCGAATGTCCTGCGCCAAGCGAGATACCCGCAAAGTTGTTCCTCCAATGATGAAGAGGTTCTTGATGAGAGGCTGTCCGACAAACAGCGAAGGGGATGCCATGAGGGGCTCTCGAATGAATTCAACCCAGTCATCGACTGCCTGTGAGACCATGACCGAATTAGGAAGAGAAATGGCATCCTTGACTGGCGTCATTGTGTCAACCCCGGAGAATCCCGTCTTGCGCAGGATGGCATCCCATTCGGACTCGGAAATGCAAGCGCCCAGGGTCCTGCCTTCCTCCACGCCTTGCCACCATCCAGGGAGACACCCGAAAAGGGCGGTGCCGCGGATGATGTCGGTGTTTGTGACCTCATAGAGGACCAGATAACCACCAGGCTTCAACAGCGACCGTACGCGACGAACAGTCTGCTCGATGCTCTTTGTGGCATGGAGGACAAACGAGGCGACAATTATGTCGTAGGAATGCTCTTCTAAACCTTGCGTCTTCATGTCCTGCTCGAGGTCCAGGACGCTGTAAATCATGCGGTCCTCAAATGCCGAAAACTCCTCCTCGGCTTTGTCGAAGAAGGCTGCTGAAACATCTGTGAATGTGTAAGTCGAAAAGTGATTGTCAACGCGCTTAAGAATCTCTCGAGTGGCCTGCCCGGTGCCGGCACCGACTTCCAGAATCTTGCTCTCTGGGTACCGCTGCAGAATCTGCACGACAGTCTCAGCTAGGAGCACGGTGCCTCGGGTGATGCTTCGAGCTTGGGCGTAGTAGTCGGCCAATAGCCCGTTATTCATCAGGTGCTCAAGCATGGTTGTCTTTCCGAGGATAGCTTGCGGCATCTGCTCTCCGACGACATGCATGGCCTTGACCTCTGGTTTCTCAGAGAACGGCTCGGAGAGGACAAGGATATCCTGTAATGTATCGCTGAGCCATTCCTTCTTTGCATAGCGATGCCTGCCTTGCTGGACAAGCTTATGCACATGGGAGGTGAAGGACAGGTAGGCGGCATTGTACGGGTCAGCCCGTCCGGGGTGATCCTCTGGGATCTGGTGCTCGAGTTGTCGGAGGTAGAAGTAGCTACCACGCTCGAGAATGCTTGCAATCTCCTTGTCTTGCGCTGAGGCCTCGTACGTTCCCGGGATGTCGGCGTTGGGCTCGGACTGAACCCAGTGCATCGCATAAAACTGCTGCTGGTCGTCTGCTGAGGAAGCAGGGGTGAAGGGGACAACATGGAGACCTTCCACCTGGACAGCAGTGAACTCCCCATCATGGCCGTGGATGTCGACATCACCCTTGAATCCAGAGGTGTCTCTAGACTGGTCTTCGTCTGACATTGACGAGACAAATGCGACTTCCGCAGCGCCTGACCAATGACGTCCGCACAGAGAAGGGTTGACCCTGATTTTGTCGATGCGAGTTGGCAGATGAAGGCTCCAAAGTCTGCCGTCCTCAGGGTAGCTGAAGGTCAAGATGATGGAATGGAAGGCAGCGTCCAGAACTGCAGGATGGATGGTGAGAACCTCATCGTCAGATCCGGGGGCTGCCAGGGCAAGAGAGCCAGACGCCTTGCCAAGCTTCCGCTTCAATCCAGACAGAGCTTTGAAAGGACCCGTGTATCCATATCCGACATTGTTCAGGGAAGAGTACGCGAGCTCGGTGTCAACGTCAACCATGTAAGGCTCGATGCGAGGCGTTGCCGGAAGTACTTCGCGAGACGGCTTGCCCAGAAAGATTGATATCTCGCAGCTGGCTACAAGCTGGAAGTCCTTCTGGGATCCGATGCACGCCTCGTATGTGAAATGCGCTGTGATGGAGGCAGGGTCCTGGCGGTGTATATTGCTGACCACAGACCGGACCTCGATGCCAGACTCTTGCTCCTCCTTCCCGAATACCAGAGCCTGATGGATCACTAGGTCTTTGACCTCCATGAGCTGCACAGGCGTTTGTTCTGCGAGGAAGGGAATTGTCTCAAACGCCGTGGCCGCATATGCCGCTGCTGGGAAGACCGTCTGGCCTTGGATCTTGTGGTGGTGAACCCATGGAAGATCTTGGGGACGCAGGATGGCTTTCCATGTAACCTGATGGGATGAGCTCTGGGGCTGCAGATCCCCGAGAAGTTGGTGAACAGGTTGGCTCCTTGCGCGCAGGTTTCGGGAGAGGTTGGATTCGTGCCAATATCCTTGAGAATGGTTCCATTGATATGTTGGCAGATCCGAGATGAAACGGTGCGACTTCGTGCCACCCATTGCAGCTTCATAGCTGTCAAAGTCGATGTTGAGATTATCGACGTGCGTCCATATGTACCCAAGCGCAGATGAAACGCTCTGGACTGCGTTGGTGTTGCGTTGAAGCAGTCCTGTATATGGGATCTCTGCTTTCAGTTGCCGGAGGGTGTCAAGAACAGGTCCCTTCAAAACAGGATGGGGGCCAACTTCAATCGCGGCATCGAAGGGACCAAGATGCATGGCCTTCTCAACTGCTTGCATGAAAAGTACTGGTGAGAGGAGGTTGTCTACCCAGTATAAGGCATCCAGACTGCCAGACATATCCAGAGAGCGGTCTGGATTGACGCTGGACACCCAGATGCAATTCGGGTGGGATTTCTGCATGGTGACGGGGAGAAGCTTCATAGAGTCCAGGTATGGTTGTGAGCAAGGGACCATGTGGTGCGAATGGTAAGCCTTGTCCACCCGCAGACGTCGGACAAACTTATTCTCATCCTCAAAAATCGCAATCATCTCCTCAATTGCATCTTCATCGCCGGAGATGGTGATGCTGGAGGATGAGTTGCATGCAGCGACTTTGGCTTTGCCCAAGAAGTAGTCATCATTGCAAAGGGATTCGGCATCCTCCAAGGTTGTCCCAACTGCAAGCATGGCACCCTGTGCTCCCTCCGGGCCTGCAGCCAGACGAGAATGCAGACCACGATAATGTGCTATGCGGATGGCGTCCTCAGCAGACAAAGCACCTTGGGCAAACGCGGCCCCGATCTCGCCAGAGGAATGGCCGACGACGGCGGCGAAAGTGATACCGCATTGGCGAAGGAGCTCGACGAGGAGGACCTGAACAGCAGTGCAGAGAGGCTGTGCGACAGAAGCAGTACCGACATGACTCGACTTTGCATCCGCCAGAAGCTGCTCCCTCAAGGTCCAGGATGGACGATCTGCCTCGGGAAGTTGTGCCAAGGCGTCGTCCATGATGGCCAACAAGTCGGCCGCATATTGGGAGGTCTCAACGAGCTCGGCGCCCATGCGAGCCCACTGCGCGCCTTGACCGGTAAAGACACCCAGAAGTCGAGTTTCCTTGGTGCTGGTACCGGCGGCTTTGGAGTCAAGCTGGAAATTGCTGTTTCCAATGATGCCTTTCAGGTTGGTCTGGAGCACCTCAATGGTGGAGGATGGCAGTGCGAGTCGCAGGGGCAGACGAGAGCGGCGAGAGCGCAGAGTCCAAGAAAGGTCCGAAGGGTTGGTGTCGGGGTGCTCCTCCAGATATTGAGCATGGGAAGCCAGGTTAGCCAGGAGTGATTTCTTGGACTGTGCGGAGAAGAGGAAGGGTGTGACGCTTTGGACGTCCTTGTCGCCCTCGGAATTGGACGGCTCAAAGCTCTCAAGGATGATGTGCGCATTGGTTCCTCCGAACCCAAAGCTGTTTACGCTAGCACGACGGGTCTGACCGGGCGGGAGAAGTGGCCACGGAGTGAGCTCCTGGGGGATTCTCAAGTGACTGTAAAAAGGCAGGACGTCTGGGTTGAGCTTCTCCAGCAGCATGTTGGGCGGCACGTAGCCGTGTCGCATGGCCTGCACGACCTTCAGGATTCCGGCCAGGCCAGCGGTGCTCTCTGTGTGGCCGATTATGGTCTTGATAGACCCGACGAGGAGGCGGTCCGCGTCGGCGTCTTCGTTACCGAAGAACGCCGTGTGCACAGCCTCGGCCTCGACCGGGTCGCCAGCCGGTGTCCCCGTGCCGTGAGCTTCAAAATACTGACACCGGTCTGTCTGGGATTCCGGATCAAGGCCCGCCTTGGCATAGGTAGCGCGGATGAGTGACGCCTGTGATGCTGCGCTGGGCATTGTGATACCACGGCTACGACCATCCTGGTTCACACCCGTCTCTCGGACGATGGCTTCGATATGGTCTCCATCTGCAATGGCGGCGTTTAGCGTCTTGAGAACGACAGCAGCAACGCCGTCACCACGGGCGTAGCCGTTTGCCCCTTGGTCCCACATGCGAGACCGGCCGTCGGGAGACAGCATTTTCAGCTTGCTCTCGTGGATGTATGGCTCCGGGCCGAGAAGCAGATTACTTCCGGCTGCCAGTGCGACGCGAACCTCGCCAGACCGCAGAGCCTGTATTGCCTGGTGCACGGCAACCAGACTTGACGAGCAGGCGGTGTCGACTGTCAGTGAGGGTCCGTGCCAGTCAAAGAAGTATGAAATCCTGTTGGAAACGATACTTCGAGCAGTACCTAAGGGCCTAATGTCAGCAGTCCGAAGCTTTGTTTCTCCTGAGCAGTTTAGGTCTTACCGATTGCAAGGTACGTTGGTACGTGCTGCAAGTCACGAAATTGTAAAGCCTCGTAGTCGACATACATAACGCCGACGTAAACACCCGTGTTGGAGCCCTTGAGACCTTCAATGGTCAGACCGGCGCTCTCTAAGCCCTCGTATACTGTCTCGAGAAGGAGGCGCTGTTGAGGGTCCATGGCTATGGCTTCGGGAGCGGTGATGTTGAAGAACTGGGCATCGAACTCGGAGATATCTTCTTCGAGAAGATAGGAGTGCTTGACATTGGTGTGGCCGGGGAATTGGGAGTCTGCGTGATGAAACCCGCCAACGTTGAAGCGGCTTGGAGGAATCTCACAGAGTATATCTCGAGGTTCCCGGAGCAGCTCCCACAGTTTGGAAGGGGAGTTTGCACCTCCGGGGAACCTACAGCCGCTGCCGATAATGGCGATAGGTTCATTGCCTTGGGATTCCATGATTAGACTGAGGCTATCGACAATACGTTTCTCGGAGGTCTCGGTTGACGATAGTATCTACTGATTGTTGATATCATGTAGTGGCATGTGGTGGTATCAAATGGCATTCTGCGGGAGAAGCGGTCGAGAGCAAAAGGTCATTCAAGCTCCCGCTTTCAAATGTATTATTTAACTAACAGACAAATTCCCAAATAAGCAATAGCCCAGGAATACATCGCATACACCATCGCTTACCTGACACAGGTCTAGGACTTGAGGCGCAGAGAAACAAACAGGCCTGGATTTGGATCCCTGTCCGCCCCCACGCCGAGACTCGGATCGGCAGGATCAGCTCGGAAGGATCACGCACATGTCGTGTATGTATTATGCCTCCGAAGTTGGCCAGGAAGGGCCACTCCGAACGTCCGTACTATATGCAGGGTCCTTCGAGCAATCGCATCATGGTGAGCCGATTGGCTTACATGTGGAGGGACCCCTGGTGGGACCTGATCTGGTGCCGGTGCCGGGGTGGGGCCGTAGACTCGGGGACTTTCTCCACAAATATCGCCGGGGGAGACCGAATGGTTGCTTGCCTGTTTTGGGATGATGGTTGAGCCTCCCATCTCTAATAATCTGTTTATCAAAAAAATAGGCATATCCTACAAGTTGATTCTACATCCTGTCAAGAAAGTTGAGATTTGGTCAGGTGGCTCACGACTTGTACGGCTGTCACGATGGAATTTATGAGCACGAGCTTGACGGCGCGCGAGTATGCCACTCTTGCAATCTGTGGTGTTAGTTATTCTCTCTGCGTGCCATTGTGTGCGTGACTAACATGATATCAGATTGCCGCGTATGGAATTTTGAGGACCATTTACCTACTTTGGGTTCATCCTTTGGCAAGATACCCTGGGCCAAAGATTGCTGCGATCTCCAATGTGTGGTATGGATATCAATGGTGAGTTCTACCTACAGTGTATGGATTTCAGAAGACAAGATGTTGACAGGGCCATTCACAGGCTCTCTGGCCGCTACCCATGGGCTATTCAGCGGGCTTTCAAAGAATACGGTGGGTGATATTCGTCTTTCAAAGACCCGATCCGGAATTCTGATTGCAGTAGGCGACGTGGTTCGGATTGCACCCAACGAGCTGGCCTTCATTACCCCCAAGGCCTACGCAGGTACGTTTATCCCCAGAATAGTGGGAGTGTACTGGTTAACACAATTCTGAAAAGATATATACACCAGTACCATCAATGGACGCCCTGGTTTCGTCAAGTCGGACATGCTCGATACCGGGGACAAGTATGAAGGACTAGCGTCAGAGAGGGATATTGACAAGCACCGCGCCGCACGCAAGCAATTAGCCCCTGCATTTAGTCCCCGGTCGCTAAAGCAGTATGAGCCGACCATCCACGCCGACGTCGATGGTTTCGTCGATGGACTGATCAGCTCACCCGCCATTGACGAAGGCGTCGACATTGCCCCGTGGTTTGAACGGGCAACCTGCGATCTCGGCGGGTCGATTACCCTAGGAAATAACTTTAGGAACATCGAATCCGGTATGTTCAATACCCAAGCTGAAATTGATGATAGCTGATTTGAAGAGAAAAAAAAAAAAGGCAAAAACCATCCTATTCTGGAGTCATTGTTGCGCATAGGCCACTGGGCAACATTCCGCAACGTCATGCGTCGCTTCCCCCTCCTCTACCCGCTCTCATATGTCTTTCTCCCCCCCAAAGTGGCATTTAGCTACTTCCGTGCTCACGCGGTAAGTAAGAGACTCATTCGGACGCGCGTCGAGGAGAGCCACGATCGGAAAGGCCTGGATTACATGACGCAGTTTCTGAAGAATGAGGAGGCTATCCCGCCGGATGGCTTTCTCGTATCCCAGGCTGGCCATCTGATTCTCGACCACTACGAGTCGTCCAGTGTCTTGACTGCGGGGATGTGTTTCCTGACGACGAATGACGAGGTCATGCGGAAGTTGCAGAGTGAATTGAGGACGACGTTCAAGTCCTACGAGGATATTGCGGAGGATAAGCTTAGGGATCTGCCGTGGCTGAATGCTACTATCGAGGAGGTCCTGAGGCTGCACACTAATGTTCCGTATGGACTTCCCAGGATTAGTCCTGGGTATACTGTTGACGGAAACTATGTGGCCAAAGGTGTAAGTTCTTCTCTCTTTTTCTTCCTCCTTTCTGTTTATTTTATTGCCTCCCCCCCCCCCCCCCCCCCCCCCCCCCCCCCCCCCCCCCCCCCCCCCCCCCTCTTGAATCCATTGGACTGACATCCATCAGGTCGTCGTTTCATCCTGCGCATATGCCACCACCCATTCGGAAAAGTACTTTAGCAAACCATACGAGTTCAAACCCCAGAGATGGCTTCCTAGAGGCTCGGTCGACTACGACCGCGTCTTTGACGGCGATGACCGAGCTGCCTTCCGGCCTTTCAGTGTCGGATCGCGCAACTGCCTCGGCCAGGCCATGGCGTACGTGGTTCTCCGCGTCATGTTTGCCAAGCTCTGCTGGAAGTTCCAATGGGAGTTGGTCAACCGGGATGAGATGGACTGGGATAGGGATCTGCGGCTTTATATCGTGTGGAAGAAGCCGACGGTGCACGTCCGACTTACACCCTTCGAGAACAAGGGTTGATCACACACATTGCGGTTTTCTCAATTGAAATTACATGGATCTCTTTATTCTGCCATAACCATCATTCTCTCATTTAAACCTTGTCTGCTTGTCAGGAAGAAGAACCTTTGATACGATTGCTAGCCTGTCTGATGCTCTGAAACGTCTCTCTCGTCCGCCTCATTGTGGACCGAACAATCTCAGCCGTGTCCTGGCGACCGAGAATCCCCGAGCGATCCTCACCCTCACCATCAAGACGGTCCCAGACCCTGAATTCTGCTGGTAGACCCATGAGCTGCTCCACCGTATGCATCTGGTACTCAAACACCTGCGTCATCATCATGAGCTGTATGCATGTCGGCTGCTGCTGCTGCTGCTGTGCCGCTGCCGATCCGGACCCCTCGCGCAGACATCTGCTCATGCGATTGAATATGAGCTCAAAGAGCTCCCCGAGCTGAACGTACGTCGACAAGAGCATAAATGTCAACGACAGTGCTGGCGATGGTGCAGAATTCATCGTCTCAAGAACCGTGGCGAATCGCATCATTACGTTCAACACGTCGTTCCAAACCTTAAGATCCCGGCCTCGTGGGGAGTCCATGTCTCTGCCGTTCTGGAAAGCATCCTTTGTAAGATGGGGATTCCACGGCTCCCAGGGCTGGTCCTTGAGCTCTGCTATCTGCAGGGAGATGCTGCCGAGGAGACCGATCACGTAGGCCCCCGGGTCACCAGAACTTGGTGGGCCGGCGGCCTTGTCTTGGACATCCTCTGTTGCCATTGGCTCATGGAGGTTCCTGCTCAGTGGCTCCGCCATGTCGAAGCCGAGGTCCGGGACGCCCAGGTCGGAGAAGACGTGTGAGCTTGCTCTTGCCGAGGAGTCGTCGGAGGCAGAATCAGCAGTCGGAAAATTGGAAGTGTCTAGCCATGTGGCGGAGGCGGTGCTGTTGGGCTGGAAGAACTGCTGGGAGTCGAGCGGCTGGCTGCCATCATGCGCCGGTGGCAAACCGTTTCGGACGGCGTAGAGAAATCGAATGTCCCCGGCACGGCCGTTATTTGCGTGCGTCGAGGGCCGGCCGAGCGGTCTTCCGATGCTCGTGACACACATTGCTCCCAGGCGCAGGCAGCGTTCGCATGTGACGGCGTCGGGCTGGCTCCGGGGACATTTGAGCTTCTGTTCTCGGCATCGGTCGCAGGCAAATCTCTTTGCCGTCTGGGTGTTCATGATGCGTCTTGCTCGAGATGGTCGAGAGGTCAATGCTTTCCGGGCAGATGACTCGGAGAGTATTTGAAGTCATTCGGGACAGACGTTTGGACCGCCCAAGGCTTGATTGAACTTTTTTTTTCCTTGTTGCATCAGCTGCCGGACATGCTTGTACCGTGATCTTTGACATGTCGATATTGCTCTGATCCGCCACGGCACACATTGTTAATCTTGTATTTCCAGCGCAAAGAGTCGGGGAATATGAACAGCCTGCGCTCACTAATCAGTAATCACGCTCATTCTCAGGTGGATAAATGAAACTCAATGTCTTGGAGTCTCATGCTGAGGGTCTGGGTGCCTGCAAGCATCACATCATGTTGGTTGGCCGGGTTGGTTGAAGCACGTTGGGTGAGAGCATGATTGGCTGGGTGGGTATATGTAGCGCCGACGGTCCAAGGAAAAGGGTGATACGGAGCGCTGCGTATGTCAGCGGGTGAGAAGAGTATGCAGTTACATTAAAGCATGTAAGATTATATTGATATGTTTTGATGCGGCGCAGTGAAGGTAAACATTCAAGGGATAACTAACAACGTCCGGAGTCCTCCAAGGTTGTATGGAAAGGAGGCACGGAGAGGAGAGGGAGGGGTAGCAGCCCTAAACCCTCAAGTTCATTAGTATTTGCTGACCTATCTCCTCGATCTGGCAGGATCGGCCGTGTCTGGCTATTCCTAGGACAAGCAGGCATGCAGGAAGGAGGACCTTTGGACCCTGGGGGCCAAGAGTGGCACGGGCGCGTGGTCCGGTGACGATGCCGTCTCATCACCTTGCTTGACATGGAGTCCGAGTGAGACCTACACGAGACGGTCCCGCATGGTATTGAAGGAAGGATTCGAACCTTGGGTAAGAATGGACGCAAGCCGCGTCATCCACCGGCATGCACCATACTATCCACTCTCCCGCATGGATTGCTAGCAAACGCCTTGGAAGTGGGATGTCTGTATTACCCGTACTTGCATATGCATACAGGTGCCGTCTTTCTCTGACCTGAAGTCGGCTTCCTAACTATCGGCCACCTTTGATATTACACGATTAGCCTGAAGCGGCATATGCTCGTGCCCCCGCCAGTGTAAGATTCTAGACTCCGGATGGACGAGACGTATCGTTCCATCTACACTCGGGATCAATGAGATGCGAGATCTGACTTTCTGATCGAATCTGACAGTATTTCAAGCTGATGGGTATACAGCCTGTTCCCGGGCGCGCGTGCATACCTGAGCAAGTCGTCATGGTTACTTGTCGCTGCCGGCACCCAAAGGGTTTCCACACATTGCAATACAGACAGTCCCACGAGTCCAGTAAAGCCTTCATTTCTTTCTGTTGAATTTCTTTCTGTTGATACTGCACAATGCTTCGCGAGCTTCTGTATGGCATCACCGGCTTGATCCTGCTGGCATATGCCGCAGATTTCTTTTACAACACAGGAGATGATCCCAATGAACCGATCCGCATACGTTCGAGATTCCCACTCATCGGACACGTTCTGGGGCTGATGAGCCAAGGGCCAACATACTACAGAACGACGAGGTACGTGAAACCGAGTTCCAAAACAAAACAATCTCCAGTTTATCTAATCAATCTCCAGCAACTCCATCGAGGCCGAGATTTACACGCTGGGATGCTTCAACTTCAAAGTGTACATCAGTGCTACCAGCCGTCTACTGCCCTTCATTCAAAAGAAATCGAGGGCGCTCTCCTTCCGTCCCTTTCTCCAGCTCGTCGCACGAAAGTACGGCGATGCCTCTGATGCAGCGTATGAGATCTTTGGCGGCAGTCTGCCCGATGATCTGAGCCAGTCGGTCAAGATGTGTCTAGCTCCAGGGCGTCACCTCGACGACCTCAGTCTACGAATGGGCAAGAGAGTCTTAGTCGACATCGATGACTTGCTGTCCTCTGGGGAGAAGGCACCTTTGCTGTCGTGGGCTAGGCACGCTGTTGTTCAAGCAACAAGCTGCGCCGTCTACGGAGAAGACCACCCATTTCTCGATCGAGAAGTCGAGAGCTCGTACTGGTAAGCCTTCCCATTCAATCCCCAAATACGGTCACAGCACTGACGATAGGAAGGAAATGGATGACATATCTCACCGCGCATCTAGTCGGCTGGCTGGACGTGACGAAAAAGGGATACGCGGCACGAGAAAAGGTCTTCAAGTCATACATCAAGTACTGTAAGAAGATCCCCGAAGAGAGCTCCTTTCTCATGAAGGAACACCAGCGCGTCCTCTCGGAGGCCGGCATATCCAGCACCGACAAGGCCAAGCAGGCCGCCATCTTCACCATCGCCTCCTTCAGCAACTCAGCCCCGACGCTGTACTGGACTCTGTGGGAACTTTTCTCCCGCCCCGAGATCCTCGATGAGGTGAGAGAAGAGCTCATGCGACACGCCGTCGTCAAGACGGCAGAGGGCGAGTTTGCACTCGACGTCGCGGCGCTCAAGTCCCAGTGTCCGCTCGTGCTCTCGGTGCTACAGGAGACGCAGAGGACTCGCCACGTCAATCCCAGCTTCCGCAAGGTCCTCTCAGATACCCTGCTTGACGACAAGTACCTCCTCAGAGAGGGCAATTACCTGCAGGTGCCCGGGAACGTTATCCACAGCGAGACGGGCATATGGGGTCCCACGGCTCTGCAGTTTGATCCATACAGGTTTATGCCCAGGGAAGGCGAGAAACCTGCATCGTTCGCTAGCGGGTTTGTCCCGTGGGGTGCTGCGCCGTATCTGTGTCCCGCTAGACAGTTTGCTGCCACGGAGATCCTCATCATCGTTGCGCTGATTGCCATGAGGGCTGATTTGACGCCTGAGGGTGGTGCTTGGGAGAAGGATCCGGCTCTGAATCATGCGGATCTTGCTACCCTGTCGCCGCCGGTGAAGGAGGTTAATGTGCGTGTCGGGGTTCGACGGGAGTGGGCTGGCAGGTGGACAGTCAAGATGGGGGAGAGTCGGAGCCGTGTTCCGCTTGCTTCTGGGTAGGAGGTTTGGATTGTTGACTTGCACTCACTCGGTCTCTTTGGTAGTCAATGAAGAATATGAAGTTGATATCATGGTGTGATCATTGCAGATACTCAAAGCTGAAGCTATGTTGGGATCCTAAGAAGTGTTTGTAAGTGGCATAGGATGGTGATTGATTGGCAAGGTCCATAACAAGACAAACTTGAATCGTCCCACCAAACTGCGATCCATGCGTGTATACGTGTAGGCAAAGATATCAAAGATGATCAATTGACAAAAAACTACAGACTACGACTTGACTGAAAAGCTTCTTCCCATATAATGAATCCCATCAAGTCCAGCGGAGCAGGCGACCACAGTTCAACTACACACTTCAGCTCCCCTTCTTCTCCCTGACAAACTCACACATGCACGGATGCGCCATCTTGAGGTTCAGCTCAATGCGAATCTGCTGCTCAGGCTGTCCAGCAGGGATCCGAATCTCCCGATACTCCTGACAGATTCTAGCCAGGACATACTCCATCTGCTGCTGACCAAACTTCTGACCCAAGCAGTGACGGGGACCGCTGTTTCACCGGCCAGGTTAGCTTTTTCCCAGACAAATTCGAGTATCGAGATTCAAGACTCACTGGTTGTACGGGATAAAGTGCCAGCGATTGACGCTGGCTCCCTCCCACCTCTCAGGTCGGAACTCGAGCGCGTCTTCGCCGTAAATGTCCTTGCGACGCTGGAGACCGCCCAGAGAGTAGACTTTGTTTTGGCCATGTAAGCAGGGGTAGAAGGCAGAGCAGAGGAGGAACCTACTGATTGTGGTGTCTTTGGGGACTGCGACGGGGTCTTTGCCGGTTTTGCCTCCTCCGGTTGGCAGGGTGGCGTCTTTGAGGGCCATTCTGACATTCATGCCAACTGTCCATGGTACTTAGTATGGTTTTCTTTTCTTCTTTTCATTGATTATGAGATTGAACTTACGAGGGTGGTATAGTCGAAATGTCTCGTTGATGACATGGCGGATGTAAGTCATCTCCCTAAGGTCGGATGCTGAAGGCAGCTCGTCGCCGCATCTGGTATGGTAAGCACGGGGCGGTGTAAGTGATGGTGATGGGTAGGCAATCAAGTACTTACACTCTCGCGACATCGGCTTGCATCTTCTTCATAATGTTGGGATACTTTCCCATGAGGAATATGGCCCATGAGACTAGGATTGCCGAGGGGTCCTGCAATATTTAGCTGGAAATCTTGCACAACGTCTTGACTGGGCCCAAGTCACCTTTCCACCAAGCATGATGGTCATGATGGAGTCTTTGATATCCTGCGACCTTCTGTTAGAATGAATCCCATCCATTCTTTGGAAATGATGACTCACCTCGACACTCTTATTTTGGCTAACAAGGTCGTCAAGCATGCCGTAGTCTTCGGGCGACTTCTCCGACAGGTCCCTTGCATATGCCCGATCCACAATCCCCGAGGTGTAGTCGTTCAGCTCCTTCAGCGCCTTGGGCGCAAGGTATCTGTCCTTGACGTAGTACGCGTTCCTCCCGAAGAGCATGCGCGCCGTGTTTATGGGGTGCAGTGTCGCCATGGGACCCCTGAAGGGGTGGTGTCCGGTGAGGGAGTTGGCCGACTCGCCGAAGAAGACCTCCGAGACGACGTCGAGTTGGTACCGGTCGGACACATCGTAGACCTCTATGGGGCCTCCTTCGTCGAACCGCTTAAAGAGCTGCTGCGTGTGCTTCTCGGTTATCTCGAGATCGGTCGGGCGCATCTTCATGACCTGTTCCTCGCGTCGTTAGCCAGAGTGTTTCCGCAGTCACAATGCTGCATATGCACGTACATGGCCCTTGATACGCTCCTTGCTCTTATGCCAATGTTCTCCGTCAACTATCGCGCACAATGATTAGTCAAATCGATTATTTGACTGACTTGTCGACTGACCTGTCGACTGACTGACCAACAAAGATTTGCGTCTCCCCAAGCATGTCCCCCCAGATACGCTTAGTGACTTCACCTCTTCCAAAGCTAGACCACTATTACACCGTGAAAAATTAGCTCATGTACTCTGCTGTTTCCTATCTGTGCAGATGATACCTCTGTAGACATGATGGCCTTGATATTGGCAGGCTCATCAGTAAAGATGAGACCAGTCCCAAACATGCGCATCTCAACTGTCCGCCCAGGAGCAGCCTCGAGCCAACTGTTGACTAGTTCAAAGAAGGTGAACTTGAAGAACCTGTAGAGTGAATATACGGCCAAATCAATGCCTGCCGTCAAGTACATTAGCGACGGAAAAAAAAACGACGTCTATCCAGGTATGAAAAACTCACCAAATGGGGCCCTGAACGGAACAAGAGGAGGCGGGGAGCCGAAATCGCGAAGTCTCTTGTCGCGACGCGATTTCGCCCCCCAGTCAAGCACGTATATGCTTGCGACGAGCAGTGAAGAATACGCTGCCCAGTTCCAGTTGTGTGCCATTTCCTGTGGCATCTTGGACGACGAAATGGTGGACTTGATGGCATCCGGAATGTATGGAGAGATGGCGCTGGCGACGCTGCCGCCAAAGTCGGTAAAGTTGCTGGGCAAGCCCGCCGAGAGAGTAAAAGAGGTCATGCTTTCTTGAAGGCCTTGGCTCTTTTTTTTTTTTTTTGTCGTAACTACCTGATGAAAGAGAATTACAAGTTGAACAGCACTTCTTGAGATTCTGTACTTTGGATGGGCTATATCAACTGGGCCTTTCTCCAGTCATAGCTTTACCGGACGTGGGGGGGATGAATATGCAGCGAGTGAGAAGTGATACAAATGGGGTGACTTGGACTTGGTCAAGTCTAGAACAACATGATGCGAGGATTCTTTGTGATCCTGCATGCATGGCACTTACACAAAGTGAACGAACTTGTCTTACCCACCCTTCTAGGTACCCCGGCCCGACGTGTGGAAGATACCAAAGCTTCTGCAGTAAGGTCGCACGGTTCGGCATCCCTCTCGGAATGCTCCGAAGGTTATCGGACCCCAAATTCGGAAACTTTCTCCTCACTCGGGGGCCGTCCGCGTCCGCCGGGTAAGCCGGGCCCAGTTCGGATCGGAGTCGGGAGTTGGATACATGTACATGCATTCGGAAGCTTACGATGAGTGTCCGAATCCCAAGATGACGACATGCATAATCTATCAATAACCGATTCGTGATAGTTTCGGTGGCTTACCAAAAAGACCCTGCGTATGGGGGAAATGCTGAATTCATGACCCGCGCGAAACCGGGATTGAAGATGACAATAAAACGAGAGAGAGACCTAGAGGTAATGGTCCCCGACACCAGTAGGCGAGCTTCAGCAACTTGACGAAAATGGCCAGAGGAACAACAATCACAGCCCTCGTACAGTCGCCAAATGGCGGAGGCCCGCCGGTGGTCTCGCGGGACCAGCCAATGCCGCAAATCAGAGATGCCCACGAAGTCCTGGTCCGGGTCTCGGCCGTCGCGCTGAACCCCACCGACTACAAGATGGCTGATTATCATCCTGTACCTAACGCCGTCATGGGATGCGACTTCATGGGCGTCATCGTCGCTGCTGGCCCCGCGGTCGACGGGGATTGCATCGGAATGCGCGTTTGCGGACCGATGCATGGATCGAACCCCGGAAACCCGGACTCGGGGGCGTTTGCCGAATATCTCATCCAGGACAGGCGTCTCCTTGTGAGGGTGCCGGATTCGTGGACTGACCTCGAGGGCGCCGCGCTGGGAGGAGTAGGATGGGCGACTGTGGCGTTGGCCGTGGAGGACTCGCTCCTGCTCACGGGCACGCCGTCGAAACCCGCCCCGTTGCGGGCTGACGGAACCCGCGTGCCTGTTCTGGTATACGGTGGTGCTACGGCTACCGGTACCATGGCGTGCCAGTTGCTATCGAGGTATGTGCATTCCCAGCTTGGAGAGGGGAATGCATAGACTGATGTGCTTCCAGTGCCGGCTACGACCCCATCGCGACATGCTCCCCGGCTTCTGCGGCTCTTGTGAAGAAATACGGGGCCGCATCTACGACACCATACTCCTCCCCGACGTGCGGAGAGACAATTCGCGACGCGACAAAGGGTTCCATCCGCGCGGCAATCGACTGCATCACCACGCCAGAGTCGGTGAAGTGCTGCTTTACCGCTCTTGGTCGCGCGGGAGCGAGGTATGCTTCTCTTGAACACGCGCCCGACGAGTGGAGGACCAGGAAGGCTGTCAAGATGGACATGCCCATGACGTACGTGGTTATGGGCCGCGAGGTGAAGCTCGGTGCCGTCTATCACCGTGATGAGGACCGGTCGAAGTTTGATCTGGGCGCGCGGTGGGCGCTCGAGGTTCAGGCTTTGGTGGATGGGGGACGGCTGAGGTGTCATCCTGTTCGTGAGGTGCCCGGTGGATGGAAGGGGGTTATTCAAGGGCTTGAGATGTTGAAGGCGGGACAGGTTCGGGGGCAGAAGCTTGTGGTTAGAGTGGGGGGTGTTTGAGGTCGTTTGCGCGGGAGCAACGGAGATGTTACTCTGAAATTTAACAGACATTGACTCTACAAGCAGGATGCCATGAAAGGTATTGATCAACCATCTCGATTCCAGGCCAAGTGTGAGTGCCATTATCCACCATCTGCACCATTGACGGGGAGGCGAACGTTGGTGCCACCGGAGGCCGTAGTATGGAGAGACCCGAAGAACATACGTCCTTGAGGAAGAACATCAATCATCGATAACGCCACATCTACTTCATATTGTCGTTTCTTGTAGACTATCTATTCGCTCGTCACACCTTGTCACTCATCTCCAAATCTTACACTCTTACCAGACCGGCCCATCGTCTGACACTAGATCTCTCGGCGATGTATAATCGTCACCTCGTATCCTCTTAGTCTGCCTTCCATCTGTTTAATAGATTCTGCCTTGTTAGGATGCCTTGCTAGAACGCAATGTCGGCTTCGGGCCACTCCAGCTCTACTCGGTGCCTTTTCAGTTTCGGGCATGTACGTTCGGCCCCTTTACCGACGGCTTGCAGAACAGCCATTCATTCATTGGTCCCTTGTAAAGGTGGACGCGGCTGGTAATGCCTGCATATTGCATGCGTGCACAGTCCTCATACTTATATTGCTACATGTATATAGCATGCGTGCTATACTTGACCTCCATCATCACAACTTTCCCAGCTATTGTGCTCTTTCAATCCAAAATCAGTTGAATATGGCGCCAGAAGCAATCGGCGCCAACGTGCCAGGCCCAACAACCGGCGCCGCAGAAAAGCTTGCCCCGACCATTTCAGCTTCTACCGAAAACTACCCCTGGAGTAACCGAGATGGCGTCTGGCGCCGTCGACTGGGCTCCATGGAGTCATTCTACCAAAGCCTGGCATCTCCCGAAGGCGCCCCGGTACACTGGATGATTGGCTGCAGCGTGACGATCCAGACTCGCAACGGCCATGTCAACATCCAGGACTCTGTCCGCCAAGCCTGGGAGGTTGTAGCGCAGGACTTCCCGTGCATCGGTGCCGTCGTGGATGCTGCCTCGCGAGAGATTGCTGTCCGCGAAGAGATCGACACGGCTGAATGGCTGCAGAGGAGCTTCAAGGTCCACCAAGGGACGACGGCAGATGAGCTCTTCTCTGCCTTGAAGAGCCAGTTTCACGTCACACTTCACTATGTGCGAGGGACGAACCAGCTTCTGCTCCAATCCCCGCACACTCTCATCGACGGGCGCGGGATGCTGTACCTGTACCATGCCCTGTTAACGGCCATGAAAAGTCTGCCCGCGAACGGCCCCCGGAAGCGGGATACGTCCGAACCGCTAAATCTCTCCAAGCCGTACGACGACTGGTTGGGGATCCCGGCGACTCCATCAGAGAGACACTTTGCCGATGCCCAGTCTGTCTTCCAGCGGATCTTGCAGCAGGAAAAGCCGATTCGGCTGCCTGGTGTTGACTTTGGGATGACACCCCAGAGACCGGTCCACAGGGATCTTGAGGTGGACGAGGCGACGAGTTCTTTGATCATCAGTGCATGCAAGAGACGGGGGGTCAGTGTCACATCGGCTTGGCATGCTGCCCTCGCTTTGACGACGCAGGTGAGGGTTTTGATTCCAACAATTCTTGACTTGCCGTTTCATACTGACTCGAATGCCCCTGGTTGCAGAAGCTTCAGACAGAAGCCGGCGAAGACGGCTCATCCTACGTCCAGTTCACCACCATCGATCTGCGCCGTCATTTTCCGTCCTCCTTCATCCCGCACAAGCACTCGGTCGGATCTCTTCAGACTGCCTTGTGCCTGGCTTCTGACCTGGACAAGGATAGCACTTTTGATGCTCTCAGCCAGTCCCTGCACAAGCAGTACCAGGCCCCTTTCTCCTTTGCCGATAATGACTTCGGCTACCTCGCTCCCTACATGGCCATTTCTCGGCAGATTCTCGAAAGTGGCGGCGTGCCGCCCAGCAGCACGCCATCGCTATCCAGCATGGGGGTCGTTGATGATTATCTCCAGTGCCGATACGGTGATTGGGAGATCGCTGACTTTTGGGTGAGTTCCACGATGATGACTGGGGATTTCCAGATGTATCTGTGGACCTTCCGGGGGAAACTCACTTTCAGTGTATGCTATAACGAGGCGTTTTATGGTGCGGATGAGGTCGACCATGTCATGGAGAGCACCAGGGACGAACTGCTCCGGGCGTTGACTCACAAGTAGCCCTATCATCGCTGTAATTAGCTATAGAGTAGAGCCAAGATAACTGTTAGATGACGAGTCTGCTTAGGAGGGGAGAGTAGCGAGGTAAGTGATGAGGTTTACTGAGTAACGGCATAGTCGTAGTGCCACACAAAAAGAGGGATGCTCGTCTCTTTTCTTGTCAAGTGCTGACAAAGGACAAAGGCCAGTCAGGGAAGTGTCAAGCCACCAAGTCATATCAAGTCACATCAAGCCACATCTAAGAATGACATCAGGAGATTATCAAGATTAAGAAAGATTCAGTCAAGGTTCAAGGAAGTATAAAGATTATCACAAGCAAGACAAAGGCATTGGAGATAAGATTCGAGAATGAGTACCACTAACACGTCCACATACGTCAAAGGTAGGCAAAGTGCAGTGTGGTGTCAAGTTCTTGTTCATTCCTACGATCGTGGCGCCGGACTCGACGGTTTTATGGTCCAGTCCCGCTTACCTAATATAGGAGTAGATTTTCTATGACAGTAAGACTTCATACCGTCAGGCTGAAGCTGTTTCTTTTTTTTTTTGGTGGGACCAACAGGGGTTGACGAGTTTTATATTTTCTAAACCATTGCAATACTCATATAAACCGTCGAGAGATGCTGCGAGCGAAGCGAAGAGAGCCCCCCAGAAGGCTCACCGGAGGCAAATCAAGACTTAGAGTACCATCAGACGACAGCATGATTAAAACGGGGTTGGATATGACCACTATGCTATATATTTTGAACAAGGTATATAAGATGTATGACAAAGGAAGAATCGTGGAGACAGCACAAGTCTGTCATGGAAAGAAAGAAGTAAGGGGGGGGAAAGACATCAGAAAAAAAATTACAGCTTCATGAGAAAAGTATACGAGTGTCGCCACAGAAGAGGCCTCCTAGACGGAGTCTGGGGAGGATTGTAAGGGCCAGAGTAAGTCCACAGACGGCCATTGGCGTTGCTCCGAGAATTGCTCAGGGACAGGGGAGCGAGCGAGGAGGCTGCAGACGAAGATCTAGACCTGCTCGGCGTGTGGACGGTCGCCGAAGCGGTGGCCTCTCCGTCCTCGAGGTAGGAAGTCCAGGTTGTGGTGTCTGGCTGGGGGAGGCCGTGAGAGGAAGAGGAGCGGTGGTGTTTCCTCTTCCAGAGGGTAGAGGTAGTGGGCGAGGAAGGCAGGGGGATCTGCTCCGGCTGCCCGAGAGGAGAGGCAGAGATGGCGTCCCAGAGACCGGTACTGTCAACGGACGGAAGCTCGAGGCTGCTCGGTTGCCTCTTGGGCGGTCGCCTGGTAGGCACACCCGAGGTCGTGAAGAGGTACGAGTCCCAAGTCGTGTCGTCAGGTTGAGCCAGGCCGTGGGAAGGGGTAACAGCACGGTCTTCCCGCCAGAGGTTGGAGGCAGGCCCGGGCTGAGGCTTGACGGGCGAGGCAGTGCACTCGCTGGAAGAAGAGGGAAGAGCCCACAGCCTGGAGTCAGATGCAGCGACGGGCACGGGGGCAGCCCAGAGGCTAGACTCGCTGTCGAGCGGCAGGGGCTCGAGCGTCCTCAGGGCACGCTTGGGAGAGGTGCTGGGGGCTGTAGCGAGGTACAGGCTCCAGGTAGCCTCGTTGGGCTGGGCAAGGCCGTGGGAGGTGGAGATGGCGCAGTCTTCCTGCCAGAGACCGAACTTGGCAGGCGACGAGGAGGGAAGGGGGCTCTTCCCAGAAGGGGGAGCAGGAGCGACGACAGGAGCAGATACAGACGCAGTCCAGAGGCTGGTGCTGTCGATCGACGGGAGCTCAGCCCTCACCTGCCTCTCCGATGCCCTCCCGGCAGGAACACCAGCGGCTGCGGAAAGGTACGACCCCCAGGTTGCCTCGTCGGGCTGGGCAAGACCGTGAGATCGAATGGCGGCATGTTCTTTCTGCCAGAGATTTGCCCTGGGCTCGGGCTGAGAAAGTGCCTCCACGGACGAGCAGGGGAGCTCCCATAGTTTGGATGCTGAGGAGGAAACAGCAGCAGGAGCAGTCCAGAGGCCTGACTTTGCATCAAAAGACACAGGATCCGGAGTCTTGGGTGACTGCTTGATAGAGGCGACATGAGTAGCAGGAGCTGTGGAGAGGTACAGTCCCCAAGTCGCTTCGTCGAGCGGAGCAAGTCCGTAAGAGGGGACGGTGGCATTGCCCTCCTGCCAGAGACCAGAGATGGGCGCGGGCTGAGGGTCGACGGAAGAGGACGGAAGAGCCCACAGCTTGGATGCAGAAGCACGAGCAGCAGCGGGAGCGGCCCAGAGGCTCGACTTGCTGTTGAATGGCAACGGGGACTCAAGATTCTTCACTGAACGCTTGGCAGACGTAGCAGGGGCTGTGGCAAGGTACAGTCCCCAGGTGGCCTCGTCAGGCTGGGGAAGACCCCTGAAGTTGGCAGCGACGCTGTCTTCCTTCCAGAGGCTGGAATCAAGCTTGCTAAGCGAAGGCTGAGTCTCGCTGGTCGAAGAGAGCCCCCAGAGTTTGGATGCGGATCGCGCAAGAGGGAGAGTGGCAGTCCACAGGCTCGACTTGCTGTCAATGGCAAGGGGCTCGAGAGCCCTCAAGGATGGACGCTCAGCAGAAGTGGCAGCAGGAGCCGTGGACAGGTACAACCCCCAGGTCGCTTCGTTGGGCTGCTCAAGACCATATGAGGACTGAGTGGCGGCGGCTGCTTGCCAGAGGCTGGAATCTGACCCCAGCTGACGCTTGGCAGACGCCCAAGGCGCTTCCCACAGCTTGGGGAGAGACATGGTAGTAGGAGTAGTAGGAGCCCAGAGGCTCGACTTGACGTCAACTGCCCGGGGCTCAGGAGTTTTCGCCCTGTTCGGCGAACGCTTGGCAGACGTGGCAGGAGCCGTAGCAAGGTACAGGTTCCAGGTCGCCTCGTTAGGCTGAACAAGGCCCTTGGCCTCCTGGACAAGACCAAGAGCAGCCTGCCATAGGCTAGCCCCGGGCTTGATGACCGCAGAAGTGACCTCCTCAGCCTGCTTCCCAGGCTCCTCAGCCTTCTGACTCCACAGAAGAAGAGACTGCGTAGGCAGCGACTGAGAAGGAGCCCAGAGGCTTGACTTGTCGGCAAATGGCGGGAGCTCAAGAGCCTCGGGTCTCCTGGACCCACACTTGACGAAGGGAGAAGCTGTGGAGAGGTACAAGCTCCATGTCGCCTCGTTAGGTTGCTGGAGACCCTTGGCCTCCACAACATCATGAGTGGCCTCCCAAAGAGTGGCCAGAGGCTTGCTGCATGCAGCATCGGGCTCAGCCTCCTGGAGGGTCTCCCGGGCGCGCTCCCAAAGGAGAGACTGCCTGGACAGACCACGGGGAGCTGCAACCCAGAGGCTCGTCGGGCTATCAGTGAATGACAGAGGCTCGAGAGCCCCTGACTTCTTTGGCACATGTGCAGAAGCAGGGGGGGCCGTAGTGAGGTACAGGCTCCAGGTCGTCCTGCTAGGCTGCGGGAGGCCCTTGGACTCCTTGACGGCAACGCGACCTGCCTGCCACATGTTTGCCTGAGGCTTGCGGGGAGTCTGACGAGCAAGGTACTGCCTAGGGGCAGAGCGGTGAGGAGCAGTCCAGAGGCTTGTCTGGCTGTCGATTGACAGGGGCTCAAGAGTCCTCAGTCGGCTCGACGCGCGCTTGGAGAAAGGGGTGAGGCTGGAGATGTAGAGGTACAGCTCCCAGGTCTCCTCGTTGGGCTGAGGGAGACCCTTGACCTTTTGGACGGCATCACGTCCTGCTTGCCACAGGCTAGCCTTGGGCTTGAGGGTTTTGGGACCTCGCGGCTGCTGCTGCTGCCAGAGAGGGGATTGCCTAGGTAGAGACAGAGGCGTAGCAGCCCAGAGCGCGCCTACCGAAGGAGGGGGTGCTCGAAGGGGGGTCTCTGATATGTGCCTGGTGTTGGGAGCAGCAGGGGCTGTAGAGAGGTATAGCTCCCAGGTCGCCTCGTTAGGCTGGGGGAGGCCTTTGCCGGCGACCTGGACCTGGAAGTTCCCTGCCTCCCACATACTAGCCCCAGGCTTTGTGGCGCTCTGTGTGAGAAGAGAAGGCCTAGGAAGAGCAGGCAGAGAGGTAGCGGTCCAGAGATGAGGCTTGCCACTCCTGCCCACCGGAGAAAGCGATGCCAGGAAGTGAGTCTTTGGCACGCGTCTGGCAAGCACGGGGGCGGCAGCAGAAAGATACGACTCCCAAATTATCTTCTCCGGCTGCGGGAGACCCCTGACTTCCTGGATCTCATCGTGAGCCGCGTTCCATAGGGGACCGGCTCGAGAGTTGGGAGCCTTTTTCTCCTCCTCATACTTCCTCGAGAGGACCTCCAGCTTCTCCCAGAGGAGGGACTGGTTAGCGGCAGGAGGAGCGGGAGCAGCAGACCATAGCGACACCTCCTTACCTGCAGGGATGGGAGGAGGCGGCGAAGAGACTGGAGCCCTCTGGCGGCGCCTAGGAGCGTCGGCAGTGCCTAGATACATGCTCCAGTTGACGTCGTCGGGTTGAGGCAGACCCTTGCCAGCCGGGGGGGGGGCATCGTATCTCGGCTCCCACAGAGGCCAGGTTTCCGGCTTCTCGGCGGCGCCAAAATCTCCCTCCTCGTCGCTGTAGACGACAGCACCGCGAGGGATGATGTCGCTGTCACGAGGGTTACCCTCGTTGTCAAAGCTGGTGCTCTCGTAGCTCCCAATCGTTGTCGGGGAGGAGCAGACTGAGCTTGTGCGTCGACTCGTACACTCGCCTACGGCAGTGGCGTCGCGCTTCAGGAGACTGGCGATCTCCCAGATGGTGTCCTCGTCGAAGTCGTCACTATCGTCCTCGTCTTCTCCCTCCCCGTAGTCCTCCTCGTCAGCTTCCCCGTAGACCTCCTCGCTCATGTCAAAGTCGGAAAAGTTGTCGCCGTCATCCTCATCGTCAAAGTTCTCGAAGAACGACAGCGCGGACGCGTCAGTCACAGGCATGGTGGGGACCGGGTTCAGGGGCCTCAGGATGGAACCGCCCGTCATCATGGTGCCCGGCATGACGCCGAGACCAAGACCGGCAGTCACAGGGGGCACATAGATGCCCGTGCCCGACCTCTCTCCCCAGGGGAACTCGAAGATGCCGAGCTCGCCCTTCTTGCCGGGGAGAGGCTTGGGGCTCTCGGGGATATCGGGCAGCATGGTGATGCGCTTGCTCTTCCTCGTGGGCCTCTGCGCCGACTTGGGGCGCTGCGTGGGGGTGGACGGCGCAAGGACGGGGGACTCGGCCTTGACAAAGCAGGTGGATCTCCAGAGGCCCTTCCAGGAGGTGAACCTCTTCCGGGGCCTCTCGTCGCACCAAAGCTGCGAGCTCGAAATCTTCAGGCCCTCGGGGGCTGGCCTCTTGACGGAAGCCTTGGGGGCAGGGAGGTCTGACAGGTCCTCCGGCAGGACGGAAGAGGGCTTGCCCCTGAGGGACCACAGCTGCGGTTCATCCATCGGAGCGACGGGCGAGGGGGCCTCAACGTGCCACAGCAGCGGAGGCTCGTAGACTGTGGGCTGCAGGATGGGGAGGTCGCCGTGGATGGCGGGCATGGCTGTGTCCTCAACCTCGGACCCTTCCGAGTCCGGGGGCGTAGGGCTGCCGCCGCCCTGCACCATCGTCACCGGGCGGGAGACGGTCAGGAAGCTCATCAGACTGCCAGAGGCGCTCAGACGAGAGACGGTGCTGTTCCTGGCGCTACCGATGTTTCCGTAGGAGAGCTCGTCCCTGATGAGCGAAGCCCGGTCCCTGTTCGTGGAAGGCGGCAGGGGAGACAGCGAGCGGTGATCATTCAGTTTGGCCAGTTCGGCCCATCGCTTGGAGAAGCTGCTGTTCTCCTGCACGCGGGGTCCCTGCGGCGACGCGGCGACCGTGGAGATGGAGTCACGGCTGAAGATGGTCTTGCGAATCTTGTTCCAGTGGCTCTCCTGCACTCCAATCTCCTGCTCGAGGTCGGCGAGGAGATTCATCCTCTGGCTGTCGTCCAGGGGGGAGGCCACGGTGCTGTTCCTTTCCATCTGGTGGAGCTGGATCTCTAGGACGTCGAGCGCATGCGTGGGCGACTCCAGAGGCGACGGCTCGGCCTCGACCACGATCAGCCTGCTCGGCTGGTTCAGCGACAGGGGTCTCGGGGGGGGTCCGCGTCGCGATCCCGGTGACCTGTTGCGTGCGGAGAAGGTCGAGGGCTCTTGGGCCATGCGGAACTGCCAGCCGCCCTCGCTCGGTTTCCCCTCCTCCCTGTTGACGCGCGGCTTGCTGGAGAGCTGGGCCGGCGAGTCGTGGAGCGGGGTGCTAGCAACCGAAGTGTTGAGCGTCTCATCGTCCGAGTCCAAGTCGTCGTCCGGCGACCACGCCGGCGGCTGCTCGGCCTGCACTTGCTCGGGCCGTGAGCGTCTCGAGCTGTTGCTGCTGCTGGAAGGCATCCTCAGAGGCGCCACGGAGCAGGGGTCGGAAGCACTCGGCATGGGCTCGGGAGAGTAAGCACTGCTGATGCTCGCGTAGTCATCGTCCGCGGGCGGAGCAGCAGCCCTGCCCCGGGGGGCTTCCTGGGTGACTTCCTCAGGCTCCCAAGGTTTGATCATCGAAGTCTCGGGTAGCGAAGGCTCGGTCAGCGGAGGTCCGGGCTCCTGCTCGGTAGCGGTGCCGCCGCCGGACACCCCGGACTCGGGCCTGGGGGCTGGCTGTGGCCTGCTCTCGTCGCCCGGATCAGCGAGGCCGAGGATGCTCCGGGTCTGCACCGAGGTCATTGTCGACCTATTGGTAAGGTAGTCCATGTCGTCGATCAGGGACGAGTTGACGGCGGACATGGGGCCAGCAGGCTTGCCCCTCTGCGCCGCCCACAGGGGAGCATCGGGCACCGAGCTGGACCGGCGCCTGGTAGCCCGGGAGGACGAGGATGCTACGCTCATGACGTCCGCGACGAGGAGATCCATCTTCTCGGAAAACGTCATGCTGACGGTGTCGTTCGGCCTGGGCCTGCTATCGCTGAGCTGGGGCATAGGCGGCAGGGGCGGCAGGTTGCTGGGGCTTCCGGGGGCCGTCTTCTGCAGGAGCATCCTCTTTGCCCGCAAGGACTCGTACGAGACGGACGTCGCGAGATCCTTCTGCGACGGCACGTGAGAGTGTCCCAGGAATGCCGTTTCCGGCGTCCTGGGGATGGGCCGGGGCCTGTGTATGACTGATTCGCGAAGGATAGCCTCGAACCCGGGGGAGATTGGGGGCAGGTTCTTCATGGGAACGGCCGGTACCGTGTTGTTGTACCTGTGCTTGTAGACGACAGGCTTCATGGGGGGCACCACGCTGAGCCTCCTCTCATCTCCCGCAGGGAGGGTGGGCGACTCCTTGACAGGCTTGTTCGAGGCTATGGAGTTGGGAGTGATGGGGTCCAGATAGCTCCGGGAATTGGGGCTCTGCGGGGCCCGGGGTTTCGGGAAGACGAACCTGGTGTCGTTCGATGCCTGAAAGGGCGGGACGATGCCGCGGCGCTGCTTGCTGAGCCCCTCGGGGATGGGAGGCGGGGTGCTGGGATCGATGAACATGGCATCGGCGTGTCGTGTATCTTTCCTCCTCGAGGACGAGCTGGACCGCCCGTGGCTCCCGGGACTGCCACCACGCGAGCTGTCGGATGACGGAGACGGGGTCATCTGGCTGAGCAGACTGGGAGACTTCGTATCGTACCGCATAGCCGAATAGTCGTAGCGCGTGGCGGGACCGTCCGTCACGGGCACCTTCATGTCCACGTCCGGGTTCCGGATGCCAAAAAGCTCCCAAGTGTCGGGACGCGCCAGACGCTCCGGCTTCTCGATGCTGGAGACGATGACGTTGTTGATCGACAGGTCCGTCCTCAGCGGGGAGAAGACGATCTGGTGGTCCCGGCCCTGCACCTGGGGGGAGTTTCGCGGCGACCTCTGTCGGACGTTCTCCATGGCGGGAGAGAGCTGTGCACCGGACGTGGCGGCTGTGGAAAACCTGGACGCAAGATTGCGGCCAGCCGTGATATCGGCGGGGGGAGCCTGACGTGAGCCCGCCATCAGGGTGCGCTCGCTCGAGCCCTCCGGAATCGAAGCGGAGGCTGAGGCGGCGATGTGGTTCAGGCGCTTGCTGCGCATCTCACGCTCCTTCCTGTCGTTCTCCCTGGCCGTCTCCAGCTTGACTATCGGAATCCTACCGATAGAGGTGGACAGATCCTCTCTGAGGATGGGGCCGGAGATGATGGGCCTCTGGCTCCCCCCCTTCTTGAACTTGTTGGCCTTGCGCTTGCTCCTGGAGGACCTCGCAGAAGTGGTGGACCTGGAATCGGCATCCCTCTTCGCTGGAAGGGACTTGGCGATGGCCGACCGGGAGACGGTCTGACCCTGGGTGACGTCGACAAAGTTGCCCATCTGCTGTTGGCGAGGGCTCGCGAAGCCAGACATGCGGTACTCGCGGGGGACCCAGTCTCTGGGAATTGTCGCCGTCTCGGGCTTCGCATCTCGAGGGGCGGGTTCGAAGGGCTTCCTGCAGAGGGCAAGGATGACTGTTCTCCCCCGCTCTCTATTAGCCACCGTCTCTCTCTGTCTCTCTCACGACGTGGCGAAGGGCCTGATCGGAACCTACCAACAAGTATCAGCACGCCGATGGCGGGTAGAGCAGTTCGAAGGACAACGGCCAGCGACTGCATCCCCAGCAGCATGGGAGCGCTCAGCTGTTGGAGCATCCGTCAGCATCGCACGGAGATGAGATTGTGCGGGTGAAGTCGGACGAGGCAGGACGAGAGAAGGAGGGAAGAGGTGCTTACAGCTGTCCAGACTCCGAGGCCGACGATGGGGAGAAGCAAGAGGTTGCTCTGGTTCTGGTTCTGCTTAGACGCGACCCTGTAGTTGACGAGGAACCTCTCGAGGAAGAACAAGGCCAAGAGGATGTCGACGACGATGACGGCGATTCCCAGCGTCACCTGGGACGTCGAGGAGACGCATACGGGGCTGGTCTGGGATGTCTGGAAGCCGACGAAGACGGCGCCGAGGATGAACCGGAGGGCGAGGACGACCTGGGGGAGGATGAGGGCCTTCAGGGACTTCTCCTCGGCGGGGGTCCCGAGGCCTACGAGGCTCCATACGAGGGCCTGGATGAGGGCGACGCGTGCGAGCTGGTCGAATATGCTCTCGAAGACGACGGTCACCTGGCATGCGACGGCGGTGGTCGCCTGGAGGGCGGCAAAGTCGAGGATGGCCCACAGGGTCGCGGAGAAGAGGAAGATGAGGAGGGCCAGCCTCGAGCCATCCTGCGAGATGGGCAGGTCATGATGCTTGAAGAGGAGGAAACCGCCATTTGCGCCGGCAGCGATGGCGACGATGCCACTGGCAAGGGTGGTTTTTCCCAATCGTTAGCAGGACGGCAAGAGAACAACGGTTTGAGCTCAGAGGCAAAGATGCCCTCCCCTTCTGGGCGTACTCATCCGGAGGAACTCACAAGGAAAAGGCTGCGATCAAGGGCTGGGAGCCGTCCGCCATGATTGGCAGCAACGGCTCTCTTCTCTCTCTTGACAGCTGAGAACGAGCGACGAGAAATAAGTTGCGGAGAAGGATGAGAACAACGAGAACAAACCCCAATCAATGGGTTTTGTTCTTGCAGACAGGACACACAAGCAAAGAAAGTTATCACGACGTCCCCCTCCCCAGCGTAAGAAGATGGAAAAAAAAAAAAAAAAAACCCTGAACGATAGGAAAGAAAATATGATAAAAGAGAGAGTCCAGCTCAAGAAAGGAACATGATGGGTTGAGTTGAGGCGGGAATACACAACAACCACAGCTGGCAACACAATCGCGCGAGACGAAACGGTCAAAGTTTAGGAAAGGAGGAAGAGGAGGAAGAGGAGGAGAAGGTGGAGGAGGGTGAAGGCATCATGGCACACGACAGAGTCGAGACGGTAGAGAAGGGGGGGGGTGGTCAGCCAGGGCACAACATCTCTCTCAATAATAGCTACAGAGTACAAGTAGAAGTATCTGTGTTACTTACTACAAGCATGACCGATTAAGACTACTATAGAATAGATACATGTACAAGTCCCCGTCATATCTGCGACGAGAATGCGAGAGGGAGAAGGGGAGAGAGAGGGAGAGAGGGAGAGGGAGAGAGAGGTATGCCATAATACCGTACAGCAATGGAGGGCTGGCTGTATTATCACCGAGCTTTCTTGCCCTCTCAAACCACGCAAGTCCTTGGGGTATCATAACACTGCTAATACTCCGTACTCCGCAATGACCAGCAATACGGGTGTTCCTACCATGCCTGATTGGTCGCATGAGGGACTTGTCGTGGCCGGGTACGAGGTTCCTTGAAACTCGGCTTGTCGGACCCTTGCATCGGGGGGTTCTTGGCAACGGTGAGGGGGGTTCTGGCGACTTCGGCGAGAGAGCCGGGGTGGTCTGCCCTTCCTCTCCAAAGAGCGAGAGCGGGTCGCTGAAGAATTGGATCTCGTCACCTTCTCGAGTCCCGTGCAATTTCGACAGCGGTTCATGGGATGGGTGAATACTATCCACAAGAACAAATACGGGTATGAATATGTCCTTGTCCATCTGAGTTTTCAAACTAGGGTACAAGGTTACTATATATGTATACATATATATACACATGTATATATATATATATATATATATATATATATGCATATATAGTAATATATTATATTGATATACATCATATACCAATACTTGTGGTAATAGTCATCAGCAATACCCAGACGGGGTCATGTCATATTGCTCGTTAAGAGGAGTTCGAGCCAAGATGAACAATCTGCACGTCGTATATGGGAACAATCCATGCGTCCGGGATTAATGTTGTAATAATACGACGTTGCACGGGAGTGCGAGTACTTTCGTGATGATACTCGCAGACAAGAAGGAATCTATTCCCTGCGTGCCATCTTCCGTTGTCAGCAGTCACAGGTCTCGACACCGACGGGTGGGAATCTCTCAGAGTTCCCGATCCCTGATCCAACGAGCTGACGGCGGGGAGGAGAGCTGAAGCCTAAGGAATGGAGAAGTCGGTTTCACTGTCCGCGTTTCAGGATACTTGACTTTTTTTGCTTTCACCTTGTTCTTTTTTCTAAAGTGGGGGGGGAAGGGGGGGGGGAGGGTCTTTTCCCTTCTTCCCTCTTCTCTTTCCCTTTCTTCTTCTCTTTTTTTTTCGCGAGCCTGATCTTGCTGGTTTGTTTCCACTAGTACGTACTGCGATGGATCATAGATAGAGATGTACGAGTACTCATATGTCCGGTTCGAGAAGAAATCATGTGATGAGCCATGTTCCGGCGACTAATAGATTCGTCTGTCCGATGCAATAGGTAATATTCATGGCTCCAGACAGTGACACCCCCATGCTCATACAAAGCATGTGCAGTATATAAGAGTCGATAAATCACGCCGTAATACAGTACTACCGATCCCCCCCCCCTTCATGGAAGAACCGAAAGTTGGACGATGGACATTCAGGTCCACCACCCCCCCCCCCCTTCACCCCTTCATCACCAGAGCTCCCACACCTGATCAGGTAGCACGGTCCGCATGATGGCCCAGTGCCCAATCGCCGAGGCGGTATTCCACTTGGCAATCTTCTCCGTCTCCCCGCGTCGCAAGATGCCAGCGCCCTCAGCCTTCTTGCCCTTCTTTCCCTTGCGGACACCGGCGTTGGCGTCGCCCTCGTCACCCCTGTCCGCGAGGAAGTCGAGCAGGCGCACTTCGTGCTGCGGCTCGAGGAACATCCTGCGCGAGTGGCTCTCCAGGTAGTCCGCCTCTGTGGCGCGGCGGAAGCGCAGCTCTCCGTCGGTCGCCGTCTTCGTACAGAAGATGACCATGTTTGTGAAGTCGGTGTCGCCCGCGGCCAGGCCCTCCTCTGCGGGGCTCTCCCGGAAGATGCGGCAGGTCGGGAAGACGCGGGTGATGGTGCGGACGATGATCCGGGGGGTCGGGAGGCTCAGGTCTCCTGCATAGTTCTTTTCACCGTCTCTTGTCAGCTGTCGGCGTGGCATGGCATGCGCGTGTTCACGCACGGTCTTCGGTAGCATACTCACGATGGCAATGACTCCGTCGGGGTTGAGCAGATCACTCAGGCCCTGGAGGAATTCGAGGGTGAACAGGTCGGCGGGCTCGGCGCCTCCAGTAAAGACGTCGTGGACGATGTAGTCAAACTTCTTGCCGACCTCGACGAGGCCGGCCGTGTAGCCGACAGCGTCGGAGAGCACGACCGCATTGTTCTCCCGCAGATCAAAGTACCGCGAGGCAAACTCGTAGACGACGGGGTCGATCTCGACGACGGTGGTGTCGATACCGTGGGCCACCAGGGCCGAAGGCGTCGTTCCGATCCCGAGGCCACTGCGGAGGTGGTATGTCAGTCTGGGTGTCTGTCGCATGCCGTACACACACGTGTACAGCAGAGGTGAGAGAGATGGATGGTCAGCACTTACACGACGAGAGCACTGGCATCCTCGTCAGCCAGTCTGGCGGACGACTCGACGAGCCTGACGGCCTCGAGCATAGCAAAGACAGCATAGATGGGCTCGGCGACGTGGACGGCACCGGGCATGATCCACTGCCCGCCGAGCAGGCTGTGATCGCAGCGCATGACGCGGAACCCTCTCTGGAGGCTCTCGAGCACCGAGACGTAGCCCGTCAGCGACTCCCTGCGGTCGATCAGGGCCCATCCGTCTGCGATCAGGGTCGAATTGAGGGAGGCGGTGGCGGCCGAGGTCATGAGGTGCGGGTTGACGACGGCGGTGTGCACGGCAGCGGGGAGGACGAGGACCAGCCAGACCGAGGGGAACAGGACGGCGTAGACGGCGGCAGCCAGGAACTCGAGCGAGACGCGGGAGAGCACGACGGACGCGCCGAGATACCGGGGCACCCACTCGGCCGCGACGCCCTCGACGACATGCACGAGCAGCCACGAGACGATGCCGGGGGTGGCGTCGGTGAGCCACTGCATGCGTCCGGGCTCCAGACGCAGCGGGCCCTCGAGCAGGTCGGCGGCAGACGAGGCCGTCAGGACCGTCAGCGGGAACAGGGTCAGGACCTCGCTGACGACGGGCCCGTACGCCGCACCCAGCGTGCCGCTGAAGCCGTACAGCACCGCCTGCACCGCGGGCGTGTACGCCGCGACGATGGGGAGCATCTGCGTCGTCGAGGGCAGTCTGAAGCGGCGCAGCGTGCGCCGCAGGAACACGTTGGTCGACCAGCCGACGAAGCACGCGGCGTTGACGACGCGCGGGTGATGCACCGACGCCGCCATGGACCCGTACACGGGCGACAGGGCCAGCTGTGACAGCGTCGAGAAGACGCCCAGCATGGTCAGGAGTGACGCGCACCGCAGGTACAGCACCACCGTCTCTCCCGTCCACTTCCCATCCTGCCGTGCCTGCGATGCGAGACCCTGGAGTTCGGCCACGTTCTCCTCAACCGTCGCGGCGGGGATACCATCAGCAGCAGCCGCTGCTGCCGCCGCTGCTTTCGGAGAAGTCGCGGTCGAGGTCGGGGACGGGCCAGCCGTCGAGGCCTTGGTTGTCGTCGTCTTGGGGGCCATTCTGTGTCTAATCTGGGCAGCACAGCTGCTGACGTCGTGTGCCGGGTAATGGTGAAGGAAGAGATTTGTGGCGAAGAGAGAAGGGAGAGCGAAGAGCTTCCAACCAGCTTCATCAATTCTCGGTCCTAACCTGGAGGGAGCTTACGAATACGTAGCAAGATCAAACAAACAAAAAAAACAAGAAGCTCCCCTTGCGGCAGGTCGCCAAGCAGCACGCAATGAGAGCCACCGACAAATCCGAGGCGGGGTCTGAAACATGCAAGGGTCCAGCACTAATCCGTTACAAGTCTACAGACTACGAGTAATACTGACTGGTATTGTCGGCGTATGTGTAATTTGCGTCGAAACTTGGAGCGCGGGCGTTGGAGGGGCATGATACGTTCCTGCCACATTACTAATCTATACATTTTATATTACAGCGGCAGGTCACGGTCACCCTATACCAAGAAGTGAAAGTTGGTAGGCGATGATGATTACATCACGATGTTACAAGAAAGATGATGACGATGGCCCATAGGCATATAGGTTTGGGGTCTTTACAGAGTCGATATGCACTATCACTGGTACTAGACTTATTTAGTATCACGTTGCTCTACTCACTCTACCACTGCAGGTAATACTCGGTAGTCATATCACCCGCTTGCCTGTACGCGTCACGCACATGTACTCAACTACGGAATACAGTAGTAGTAATACTCCATAAGACAGACAGACGGCTTAGCATTCGTAGATATTGCAGAAACGACGGGGCCAACCAACCCCACTACGAGTAGCTCAAACTTGTCCATCCTTGACAACAATCTGCTCTCTCTCTCTCTCTCTCTCTCTCTACCTCTCTCTCTCTGCCACTCTCTCTCTGCCACTCTATTCAACTACTACTGCTACTATACTCGAAAACACCACGACCCGCTCACTGCATCATCACCCCTCATCGCTATCAGACCCTTCACGCACCCTCCCCTCCCCCGCCCCCCACTCCTCATCTTAGAAACGACCGCTAGCACCATGTCCGCCGACGGCCCGTACGCCCGTGAGCTCCAGATCGCCCAGCTGGCGGTGCAGCGCGCCGCCATCCTGACCAAGCGCGTCTTCCACGAGAAGGCCAAGGGCACGGTCGACAAGAACGACAAGTCGCCGGTGACGATTGGCGACTTTGGTGCTCAGGCGCTCATCATCGCGGCGCTCCGCCACAACTTCCCTTCCGACGCCATCGTGGCCGAGGAGGAGGCGGCCCAGCTGCGCGGCGACGACGAGCTCAAGGCGACCATCTGGGACCTCGTGCGCTCGACGAGCCTGTCCGACGCCGAGGGCGAGGCCCTCCTGGGCGGGCCCATCCGCGATGTCGACGAGATGCTCGACCTGCTGGACGGGGGCAGCAGCCAGGGCGGGTCGACGGGCCGCATCTGGGCCATCGACCCCATCGACGGCACCAAGGGCTTCCTCCGCGGCGGCCAGTACGCCGTGTGCCTCGGCCTCATGGAGGACGCCGACATGAAGGTCGGCGTCCTCGGCTGCCCCAACCTGCCAGTCGACGACGGGGCGCCCCTCACCGTCGACATCGGCGCCGACCAGACCGACACCGACGGTCACGGCGTCCTCTTCTCCGCCGTCCTCGGCCGGGGTGCTACCAGCCGCCGCCTCACCGCCGGCGCCCTCGCCCCCGCCTCCCCCATCGCCATGCGCACCGACGTCGCCCTGCCCGACGCCACCTTCTGCGAGTCCGTCGAGGCCGGCCACTCCGCACACGGCGACCAGGCCGCCATCGCCGCCAAGCTCGGCATCACCAAGCCCTCCGTCCGGATGGACAGCCAGGCCAAGTATGGCTCCATCGCCCGCGGCGCAGGCGACATCTACCTCCGCCTGCCCGTCAGCGCCACCTACCAGGAGAAGATCTGGGACCACGCCGCCGGCGACCTCATCGTCCGCGAGGCCGGCGGCCAGGTCACCGACATCCACGGCAAGAGGCTCGATTTTGGCGTCGGCAGGACTCTCGCCAACAACAAGGGTGTAGTTGCTGCCCCGGCTGCTTCTCATCCCCACGTTCTCAAGGTTGTCCAGGAAGTTCTCAGCGCTAAGCAGTGATTTCCTTCTTCTGCCTCGTTCTTTATTTTCCGGGATCAATCCATCCCCCCCCC